TGAGGCACTGCAACCTAACATAACAGCCAGCGAGGCTAAGAGTGTGGGGGAATCTTGGCTCAGTGTGAAAAATTGGTTGTAGTCATGAAAGCTTAGTTTGCTGTATAAAATATTCATGGTAGTCACGAAAGCTTAGGTCGTTGTGTAAAATTCGTGGTAGTTATGAAAGCCCTACTAACAACTTCATTCAGTAAAATTCGTGTTGGTCATTGCATAGGACCAAAATTCCTAACCTAACTAGGCCTTGGCGCTTGAAAGATAAACTTGAACTGGTAGAATTTTGTCCACTGTGATATTCTGATGACGGAATTTTGTCCAGTAGGCAATTAAGTGGTGGAATTTTGCCTTTGCTAGGGATGATGGACAAAATATCATCTTGGCAAAGTTAACCTAATACAGTAAAAGGCTTGAAAATAAACCTAAGATTTAGAATTTAATATAATGGGATTTAAAAGATATTCTAATTAAGGATTAAAAGGAAACCTAATCTGGATAATGACAACCTAACTAGGACTAAAGGATAACCTAACTTATTTAATCTAACATTTAAGTTAATAATTTATAAAAGATAACCTGACTTAATTAACACAGGGGTGAAAATATAACCTAACGTAATTCAAGGCTAAAAAAACTATTGCTGGCGAAATATTCCCACAAAATTGTTTTGGTGTTGGTATTTTGAGAGTGCAGCAGACTAGCAGAGTACATCAAGTGAAGCTGTGGTGGCAGGAGAGGGCGGGAAGTGACCCCTGGCGGCCACGCAGCGCGCCACACCCAGCATACCCGCCATATCCTGCGCGGCCACCGAACTCTTGCACTCAGTTCTTGTTTTTCAGGGGTACACACCAGAGATGTATCTCTTAAATTGTTTTTTGTTGATAACTAGTCTACGTCCTAATTCGGAATACACGCTTATTTGTGGAAGCACAGTAGTACATTATAACAACAACCAGGCACGCAATTATTTCAATTATTCAGAGAGAAAAGGAGTTAAAGTTCATGTACAGACGCCAGACCAGGTACAAATACAGGTTGAACACGGGCTCTTTGATTAAGAAAAATTGCACGAACTACTCCAGCGGGATCACAACTCTACTTGTGACGTATTATTCATGCATTTGTGGTTTTGAGGTATACGTAGGTGTGGTGTCTGGGCGTGAAGAATTTTTATTGTACTTAGCTAGGTGTGTGGAATGGTATGATTTTCTATCACATTTTTGTGTTATGTATTATTTGCTGTGTAACTATGGTATGTATTCATGATACAATTAATGTCTTACAGCGCGTAGCTGTGGTGAGTGGGAGTAGCATCATTATGCTGCTGCTGTATTTGGCCGTGATATAACTTATAGCACGTATCTATGATGTGTAAGCGTGATATAACTTATTAAAGCATGTAGCTATAGTGTGCAAAAGTGATATAACTTATTATAACATTTAATGTGGGCGTGGCATTATTGTTTGTTAGACTGCTGAATGCGGTGTGTGGGCATGGTATATCTTGTTATTTCACGAATCTTTGGTGTGTGGGCATGGTAACACTTGCAATAATAATACTAAATGCACTTTATTACAGAGATACACCTCTCAGTGGTAAATAAACACTGGCTGATATCACTTATAAGTTTATAACTGAGATCACATCCCAAACATCAGCCGTCGCTGTGATGTACTGTATACCTGTCTGAAGGTTTGACACGTCGCGTAGCTATGGAAGTAAGATCCTGTATTATGCTCGTTGTTGAAGTATGACGTTGCTGTGGGATGTCATGTCACATAGGGACTTGTGGGCGTGGTATAACGTATTGTGTCCTTAGTTGAATTATGAAGGTGTGGTATCATACCGCGTCGTTGTGGCAGGCGGAGTTCGGTTGGCCCATTGCATAAGAGCATCGGTCAGAGGATTAGAAGCAACAAAGGCATATATGCCACCCTAGCCGCACCCACACCACACAAAGCAGGCTCAGTTTGTCTTCGTTTTTCAATCACTTGTGCTTCTCATGGGGGTATCATTTCTCGTTTATTTTGCTATCTGAATCCATATGCAATTGTTTCAAGAACTTAAAACTGAACGCTGAGGCACCGTCGTCGTAAACAAATAAACGATCTAAAGAACGTTTTGTTATGGCGTCATTAATTTTGTAATCTGCATTGCTTCATCCCTAAATGGTATTTCATTTGCCCTACTGCCTGGTTCCATTTTGATTTTCATCTCGCCCCAGATGTACTGTATACCGTATTTTTGTCTAACGCGTTCAAAATTCACTCCCGATTGCATATCGTCTAAAATGGTTACCTTTATGGAACAGTAACATCCGTTCGTCATCCGGGAAGCGGTAATTTCCTCCACAAGAAAAAAAACATGAACAAGGAAAGGCTTGGGGAGGAGGGTGGGGGTTGCACCACTTGCGTTGAAGCGGGGTAGGAAGTGCTGGGGGACAAGGGACCCCTCCCTGTGTATATGCGCAGCAGGTGAAGATTATTCTGCGTTTTCTATTCAACGCTCAGCGAGAGCATGCATCACAAGATGGATCATCTTGAAAGTAAAGCAGTCTTTTATATTGAACCATCAGATTTTTACAGAATCTTTAAAATCTCTTTTTCCAAATAAGCCTGTGGAAATCTCTACCGGATGGAGAGTCATTTTCTAGTGATTGTTGCACCATTTTCCTTATGTCACTTGCTCGTTGAGTTGCCAAGTACTCCTGAGAGAAATCGATTTTATCAATCATTTTTAGCCTCTTATTTTGAAAGGCTGCATAAAAGATATGAATTAAACCTAACCCAATTACATTATTTCTACTTATTTTAATTTAAAAGTGCCAGATATGTTATTCTGCATAAACAAACTTCCGAACTATAGCAGCATTTATTCCAGGCTTCCCCAGTCTAGTGCCTCCACCCGCTTACGTCACTGGGAGATGACGTCATGTAAACTGTACTCGTTTTCTGTGAGAATGGTTTTGAGGGTAACCTAACTCATAGTGCTGCTGATGACAAATGGTAAGTGTTGTAAATATACAGTGAACAAGTCCATTTGTTTTTCAGGTGATATGAAATGGCGGAACTTATCCTAGCCAAATCATAATTATTTTGGCATCAACAGGATAGGTTAAGTTTGGGTCGTCCACATAAAAGGAAGAACAATCCGTTCATTGTATTTTCTAACGTTGGGTATCTTGTTTTATGAGATTCTTATAAAATGCAAAAAAACTTTACTTTGATAAACAAGGAGACAATTACAATATGTTATACCTAATAGTTATGTTTTTTTGGAAATCCGTCCAATTTAAATTGAGTTGCGCATGTACATTATATGCTGAGCCTTTGAAATGCAGTAGCAGAAATGTAGTAGTAGTAGTAGTAATATTAATTTTGTTTAATTGAGTGTCATTTGAAAAAATATATAACAAATAATGCAGATCAAATTAATAACAAATAGATCATACTTGCAGCCCATGATAAAACAACGCAACATAATTATGAAACTGATTGAAGAGTCAACCTAGAATTGTAAAATGTATACAAATTCTAAAAAGGTTTCATGTTAGTAGCAGATATTTTTGAACACACTGACAGCTGTCGATGATTATACACCCAAGAATTTAGAATAATGTTATCTGCAGTACTAACTTAGGATTAACCTTTTTCTAGTCAAGATAAATTTATATTTATATACTGGACATGAATAAATAAAAAAAATAGGTTTACGATGAACTGCTAATTCGTGACTTTATTACAGTATAAGCAATAAAGTTGTGTTTGTAATGAAGGTTACAGTGCTTTATATAGATTGTAATAAACACCACCACAGGATACACACCATGCAGTAATTTGATCATGTGTAGACTGAGCTCTCACAAAGACAGATCGTAGCGCCTATTCGTCACCGCACTAGTACAGTACAGCAGCACAGTACGCTTATGGCTAATACAAATGTCGTCATATAATGAAACGTCAACATACGAACATTTAACTTAAAAAGACACTCAGTTTAAACACAAGTATGCCCACGTGCGCTCATATATACGAACACACTTATACACCCGTGTTGACACATGTTCTTGGAAATCATATTCTGTAACCATTATGAGTAATACTCTGGCGTAATTCATAATAACTTTCTATTTTCAAGGAACATTTCTGCAGTTATCGTTATATAAATAGTGGGCATTCTCCTGAATAACAATGCTATTGTTACGTCAATAATAGCTAAACTGCTTTCATTAACTAGTTTCATTATGTGAATGAAAAAAAAATCATTGTTGTGATTTCAGCTAATTTGAAAATATGTTTATTCTTATTCTAGTTTTCACTTGGTATATCTGAAGAATTGGAAATATAATCTCCGAAAATAGCTTTTTATTTTTTTTGCGGAATCATCGTTAGGCTATATATTATCAATGATATTCCATAACAAAACCGTTTTCCTTTTTTCTCCAGCACCATGTTGCTATTTTAAATATTCCCGCCATAAGACAGACCCTGAAGAAAACGTAGAGGTTTGTAAACTTCTTCGTGGTTGGCTCAGAACGTCGGGTACTGACCAATCACAGCCCTTGATTAAACGCGGGAAGACTATACATGCTTATGATGTCGACCATGATACAAAGAAAGCACATATTACTTTGATAAAAGGCAGATTTTGAACTTAAGTTAATGTTAGTAGACCTTATAAATTGAAGAGACTTATATCCATGCTTCGGAAAAAGCTAAATATATTGTAATTGAAGGTATATTTCACGTCAAATATTGGAAGACCTTGTCCTTATGATCCGGTTTGTACCAGTTTCAAACCGAAATTTTCATGGCGTATGGATTGAACGTCTTGCATCTCCGGACACGAAACCTTATTTATCCCTATTTTCAGGGACCTTAAACGGCTGTAGGCTGTGTACTTAGTTGTAAAAAGGCATACATATGACAGTGAATGTCTCGAAAGAATAGATCTATCGCAAGTGCAGGGAGAAAAGCAGAAGGTAAGGTGATGGGCGAGCACGAGTTGCTAGAATGTTGTTTTGAAATTAACTTCACTTGATTCTAGTTTGTTCCGGATTTCGTGCGCATCCTAACCGCTATCCAGTCATCGCTTAGTCTGTGTACCGTCCAGTTCATTAGTTTCTGATCTGGGAAGAAGTATGCAGTGAAGGGAAATTAGCAAAGACAAAAGGAGTGTTTCCCTCCCAGGAAATAGTTAACACGTGAGGCGAGAAGGATTTTGACCGCTCCTGCCTCCAGTCCTCGCTGCGCCACTCTGTATTCAAGATGGTAACTTTATTGCTCTTATCTTACTCTTAAGTGATCATACAACAGTGTAATATTTACCGTAGTTATTGAAGATTATAAAGAGTGCAAATTGGTGCCGGAAAATCATGACTAATTTGGTTCATGATGCAAGATCGATGTTGTAAGGACTTGTTTCCTCGACGTGGTGGTGTGGGGCCCAGGACAGCCTGGCCTCTGACCTGCTGATACATTATACAGTGTTTCATGTGTAGCCTACAACACTCAGTGGAATACACAGCAAGTAATTTTTCTGACCTTTCACTCGGCCTAGTTTCATGAGAATTGGAAATTAAACTGATGTATGATCACAACTACTGGAGTAATCATCTTGAAAAAATGTCATAACCAAGTTCTAGGATTAGTTATAGTGTCTTAGGCTCATATCATTTGTGATATGTTCTGCTCGGGATTTTCTAAGGGAAATAAAGTGGCAAAGCAAAGAAAACACTACTCAATTTGCTCCAATGGGGTGGCAGGTAGACCATGGCCTCCATGCCTTCAGTGAGATGATAAAACCATTGTGAATTATAACTGAATTTAGGAATAATGAGCTTCTGAGTTGAGCCAAATTTGAGTACAGTATACAGTATTGCTGTGTTTCATTCCTGCTAAAATCAAACATTCTTAATGTTTTTTGTCAATTTGCTAAGAGTGCAGTGACCTGCTTGCTGTATTATAGGAATAAATTTATAGTAATGAAAGTTCGTATAGTACCGTATACCGTAAATAATAAAGTTCTGAGTATTATTTTGGTATTTAAGTTCTGTGCGATATAGGAATTGGCCAATTCCATAATTGTCTTGGGGGCATAATGGGAATTCCCATTATGTACTCCATTCTAAGAATTCCCATAATTTCTAATTTCCTAGGGAGATTCTAGAATTGCATTGTGCTTTTTATGAGAATCCTGCCATGTATTCCCATTATGGTGGGTTAGGTTAGGGTAAGCAACGGAGGAAAGACCCACCAGGTCAATACCAAAATGAGGCTGGGTAATTCCAGAAATTGTGCTCATAATGGAAATTCCCATAATGCCCAAGGCAATTCTGGAATTGGTCAGATTTCAATATTGTATGGGGCATTTATATAATTGTTGTAACGGTAAGTTAAATATGATGTGTGTGTCGCCAAACTTGAAGTGACCCAGCACAGCTTGCCTTTTCAGAAGTGAAATACTTGTCCAGTAACGCAACTTGGACCAATGGCAATACTGATGCTTAGGTGTCACTATAAGCTCTTTCTCTTTAAATAGGTGAATTAAACATGAGTGTGAACTCATTTAAGAAAGGCAATGGTCATACAGTACTAATTATAGGGAAGTGGCAAGAGGTCATCTCTGTCAAATGTAGTACAGTACAGAAATTTTTTTTCTTCAATTTGCTAAAGGCAAGGAGGCCACACCTTGTTTACTACAGTATTTTCCAACTACAGTCAATCAACACATGTACAATAAAAATTAAAAAATAGCTTGGCAAGTGGTGCCCCTGTTCCCCATGTTTGTTTTAAGGCTTGGAATAGAAATCGAGTGGAGGAAAAAGGAAAAAATGAGTAAAAACTTATGAAAATAATGTTTGAAGTAAACGATCAAAATTGAGAGCTCTCCTGGCTAAATTATACCCTTGTCAAAGAAACTACAGTGAAAAGTTTTGGTAAAGGTGGAGCAGATGGCCAACACCAGCAGGAGTTGTTTGATTTTGTTAATTTTTTTTCCACAAATGTTCTTTGGATGATAGCAAGTAATAAAAATTATACGACTGCACAGAACCTTATAGAATCTGACCTAAATGACCAAAGAAACCTACCTAACTTTACCTAACTTCTTAGCTGGGGGGCAAACCCCCCGGTAATTAAACAGAAAGTACTTACTGTACTTTGATATCTGGTACCAATGAAAGCAACTTTCTTGAGGCGGCACGGTGTAATATTAATTTTTTATGTGGACGTGAGAGTACACTCGGTTGTTGCACGGAAACAAAGAGTGGACTATATCACGCACTGACGCTGCAGATTTTTCTGCTGAATATTTTTATACCGTATATAATTAATTTCTTCATGTACAAAGCACATAAAGATGTCCTTTTGGTGTCATATGATCAGTTTTTCACTGTTTTACCCGAGTTTCCTTCATCCTTCATACCCTGCTCACTACAGGAGAATTATGATTGTAGATAAACTAAAAAATTAATTAGAAAATACTCATTAGTAAAATATAAAATTGTTGTATCGTCTTTATTACTCATCCAAAGAACATCTGAGGAAAAAATGAACATAGTCGAACAACTCCTGGTGTTAGCTGTCCGCTCCACTATTACCAGAGCTTCTTATCGATACTTTCTTCTACAATATTAAGGCTGCCACAATGATACAGTAATTGATTAAGAAATGCAATTTTATTATGCAGAGCATGTGTAACCAGGTATTCCACTACTTGATGTATGAACTTACAACCTAACCTAATCCACTTCCAGTAAAAGTATGAGCGATAAGGATTGGGTGTAGATAGGGCTGCCTAGTATGGGTCAATAGGAATACAGTCCAACACGGCCCATATCCTACCCGGACCATCAAATACCAACTCGGACCATATCGGATAACTAACTTGGACCATTTAGGTTAACGAACACATTTTACACATTTTTGCATGAATGATAAAAGTACAAAAGTACAATGATAAAAAGCAGCTTAAAAGTACAAACATTACTGATGAACAGTCACGTGATATGAAACGGCTCTTAGCAAATTTTTAGCAGACCTTCGTCCACTATTGAATTTGTCCCACCGTTTGAAGGGCTGTCCTTGGTGATGTTCATACTTGGCCCGTTGTTTTCGTAGCATTTTACCTTCGGACAAGAGCTGCACCTGGAGTGTCACTAGTTTTGCTTCATTGTGGAGTAGCTTGATTAACAGATAGATGTTAAGTTGTCCTTTTCTTGCTTTCAAGTTAAGGCAATTATGCCACCCTTCACAGTCATTATGTGTGGACACTCCTTTTAAATACACTCCAAGCAGATAGGGTCCAGATGGCATTCCTGAACCTTGAGTCAGCTACTTGATTGAAGTGTGCAAGGTGGGCCGAGTTAGTAATGTGTGGGCCCAGTTGGTTTTTTAGCATGGGACTAGTTGGCTAACTGGGTGGGGCCGAGTTGGAGGTACACCAGCCAATAGGCCTGCTGCAGTTTCCTCCATTCTTATGTTACGGTCTTGGTTCATTTCTACAGTACAGCTATCTATCTGGTCAAGATGCTACTGTACAGTATCGAAAAAATATTTGCCAGGATGGGTCCGATGACTTACAAAATGCTTCATGCAACATGGATGTCCAGGGAGGGTTGGCATGTGTGGGGCTCGGTGGCATACTGATCCTACTACATTTGGTAACCGAGCATCATACAGTATTAATTACGCCAAAATAAATACACGTTGCATTACTTATGTTAAACTATACAATATATCAAAGTAAATGCATGTCCCAATATCTATCATCCATGGTCTCATAATGTTTCACACAAAGTGTGGACAGATACTTTTTTAGATAATATACATCTTTTTATCTGGTTGAGGTATGTGTACAGTATCTAAGTAAGATACTGTATTGCACTGGTAAGAGACGTTTTAATGGAATTTATTACCAGTATATGTACTTTTATGTCATCTACTGATGTGTTGCTTAAAATCATGACCAAATATGGAGGATAATTGATCTTTGACCTGATGTAGTTTGTTTGCACATTCCGCTGGACCTTTGTGATAGTGTCACCTTTTTTAGCTGTGGATGTGTACACAGGTACTGACAAGGGATCGTGAATACAGTAAGATCTTGCATTTCGCGAGTATTGTAGACTGGAAAAATTGCGCCAAATTCAAATTCGCCAAATGCAAATACAGTACATAAACTAATAGGAAAAATAACAATATAGACTGGTCACCTTACATCAGCCTCTGATTTTCCCATTTATAACCTCCAAATGATACAAATTCTGCCTTTATTGACTTGATTGTGTTTTCCAGAAACTAGTTTTTAGGACTTCTTCAAGTAATTTAATCACACGCTGCTTATCCTGCATTGAGTACTTGGCAAACTTAACTCCCTTATGATAGTCCTGCTTCTCCCTTTCCTTATTTGGCTGCTTAGGTGGGTCTGTCTCACCCCCACCAGCATCAGTAGAGGTAGAGGCCATTATCTTGACACCATAACAGCCCGGGCGGTCGCTAGGATGGTGCGTGCTACAGCGCGATAGTTGCGTTCTTTTAATCCTCTTTTACGTTCGCCACCGGCAATTCGATCATCAGAACGCTTCTTGGAAGCATTCTTCCTACCTTGTCTTTCGTATTCATTGCTAACACGACAAAATTGGAGAAAACAGCAAAAATCATGGAGTAATTGACAGAAACCGCGCGATTCAACTGATCACGTGATGTAAACAGAGAGCGCTGTTGTAAACTGTTATTAGTCCTAACTGCGAAACATTCTTTTTACTTATTCTTTTCATACAGCTAATTTTGAAGAAAAAAAAATTTACAGGGTACCTCTCAAAAAACACAAATGTTGAAGATGGAATCAAAACATTGAGGATGGAATCGCTATAACCTACATTCATATGCAAAAGTTTGCATTTTACAAACAGCGTTCCCCTATTCATCAATCGTGTTGACAAAACAGGCGTTGTAGCAGAAATGACTGTAACTGGTATGAGGGCTGTGACGTCATTCAAGACGGTGACCAGCATTCAGCTTGCTGGATCTCGCATTCAGCTGGCTAGATCTCGCGAAATTCACGATATTTTACGCCAAATATAAGACTTGGTTATATTAGGTAGTGCTCGCGAAATTCAAAAACGCAAAATGAAATTGTGTGAAATACGAGATCTTACTGTATGTATATATAAGGCCAAGGGGTAAAATTGTTGCATTTAGTGTTTTACAAATAATAAAGACTGTTTAACATGGAAATATTAAGCAGAAGAGATTTTGGATGGGTTTGTGTTGATTTAGATATGGAACTACAGTAGCTACTACATTATATAGTACATGCATAAACTTAAAATAATTCATATCCCTTTTGCTTTCTTGTAAATACAGTAGCATCAACTAGTTAATTAAGATGTTAAAAGGTTTTAACTAAAGTGTGGTTCTTAAGTTTCATGGAATGAGTATGTGTCATCAAATCAATGAATGAATAACTTACATTTGATAAAGCATTACATCATGAGTACAATACTGTATACTGTACCATTTAGTATTTTGTGTTGGTAATACTGCACTGTTTATGTATACCTCACACTTGTGCTGCTGTGCATCTTTTAAGAGTTGCCAGTGATTCTCCAGGTTAAAAAACAAACAAACAATTCTTTATAGAATTAAATTGTTTGCACATGAATTGCATTTTGAAAATTAAGATTGTTTTGATGGTATGAAAAGTATGGAATCCAGGGAAATTGTGATTTAATACAGTACTTATGTACAGTATCACAATATGTGGCAATTATGTGAGTTGTGTGTACCAGTGCAGAGTGAAATAACTTGGATCCAACAAATATTCTTCTTGTTGTGGGCACTGAGTGTAATAATATTTATTCAGACACTGTTGTTTATGGGTATATACTGAAGTGCTTGACTTTTTTTGAGCTTAAAGTGTGATATCAAGTGCAACTTGATATTTTCAGAACCTTGATACAGAATGTGTGAGTGATTTTAGTTATAGGGTTATATAATTGCACTAATGCACAGTGTGATATAAAAAATGGAAAGGTTTGTAGAAGCACTTGTTTAGATATAATGGACTTCATGTTAATTCTCTTACCAAAATTGTGTAATATCATCAGGTACAGAAGGCAGATTGCCATTTCATATCCTATAGCTTATTGGTAAATTGCATAATTTTCGTAGATACCCACACAGTGCAATGTCAGATGAAACATATTTAGAGGAGGCTTCCTCAAAGTTTCCAAGAAACTACCGTTATTGCATTTGTAAGTAAGAATTTAAGTAATGTGTTGAAAGTGCTGTAATTCTGTCTTTCTCTTTACAGATTGAGAAGATGAGTTTGACAGTTGAAGCTTCAAAGCTTCTTGATTTCAACCAGAAGCTTGACATACCCCTTTTGGATAATGTTATTGGCTTTATGTACAATGGAATTGGGGAACAGGTATGGTGTTTTCTTTCTCATTCTGTTCACTGGTTTTATAATGCTTGTTTGGTGTCAAAATTTTCTTACATTTATCTTAAAGATTTTCATCAAAATCAAAATTGCTGTACTGTAGTTGATTTATAAGGTTCCAACAAAACTTTATGCCATTTAAATTTTCATGTCTTTGATCTCATGGTTCCAGTGGTAAGACCTTTAGAAAATGGGTGAGTGGTGTTGGTTTCAAAAGTAAAGTACAGTTTTTCTGGAAGAAAAGGTAATAAAACTGTTGTGATCAAATATGTTTTTTTTATCTCAACCCAAATTGCTGCTTGCATGATATTCTGGATTTACAACCCGCGAGACATAGGTTCACTCCATTCCAGGAAAGGTTGGAAGCTTGGTATACTGTTTTGGTGTATGCTGATATTGCTATCAGCCACATCAATACCTCATGCTAAGCTAACCCTTTGTCCCCAGGGTTTGCTAACCTAAAAGTTTAGGAATTGCAGAAAATAAGGCAGTTAAAGTAGGGAAATCAGCAAAAACGTCTAACAGTTGTAGGGAAAGTTTGTGTGCATACGCACCCCACTCCTGGTTAAATTAAGCCATGCTCATCCCACTGTGCTGAACTACCAAACCACTTGCTACATCATGGTTTGTCAATGGTAGACAAAATCATCTGAGTACCAGTGACATGTGGTTCTATCACTCCCTATTTATACATGTATGATGGACTATTAAAGGATGTCACTTTCATCAATCTTGGACACTGTGTGTGTGTGTGTGTGTGTATGTATATGTATATATATATATATATTATATATATATATATATATATATATATATATATATATATATATATATATATATATATATATATATATATATATATATATATATATATATATATATATATATATATATATATATATATATATATATATATATATATATATATATATATATATTATATATATATTATATATATATTATATATATATTTATTCTGACAAATTTATTGACAGCTTGGAGTACAGTTTGCCTATTCTGAGTAATTCAGTCAGGTCTTGACACTGAGGGTGCTATCACTTCTCACTGCCACGCAGGACAGAGGTTCATATGCAAAGAAGTAGATCATATTCATTCCCAGTATATTTAGGTCAGAGTCATGTGGGTGATATCACTGTTCACTGCCATGCAGGACAGTGGTTCATATACATTAGAAGTCATATTCTAATTGAGGACTAATCAGTGAGGGCTTGCAAATTTTGGATAAACAGCCAGAATATCTTGAAGCACTCCTTGATTCAATGTAATAATTACAAAGTTCGTGATACAATAAGCCAGGCGGCCTGAAGTCTTTGACAGGGTTACAATCAATAAAATAGTGTTCAAGTGTATGCTTTAAAGGTTTATCACAAAGTTTACATGCCGAGTGTTCCGGTGTGGGTACAGCGTCACTAACTTGCCAGATGTGTCTGTATCGTAGCCTAATTCTGGCCACGACTACATCACATTGTCTGGTTCTCTCCTTATACTGGCCATACCGGTACCTCTTGTCACAAAATTTGTCATATTTGCTAATGCTACAACTACCAAGCCTCTGCATTTCTCAGTTCTTTTAGATCAGAGTTCATGATTTTGACTTGAATGTTTTTAAGTACAGCATTGGACAGGCCAAGGTCATGGTCAACATTTTCATTCTTGCATGCCTCATTAGCGAGTCTATCGGCACGGTCATGATACCTAATTCCAACATGGGATGGAATCCACACAAATTCAATAAGAAATTTTCTCATTAGCAGTTATCACAGACAACTTTAGACATAGTACCTGACGGACTGTTCATTGATTTCAAAGCACTTTGAGAGTCACAGAATATCACCCCACCTCCATTTTCTTTAAGGTAATCTGTAGCTAAGTATATTCCCATTAGTTCAGTTTGTGTTGTGCTGGCCCAGTTGTTCAGCCTTTGCATGTTTAACACTATCATCTCCTTTTCTTTATATATTACAAATGCACAACCTGTTCTAACTGTGTTTGTCTGCACAGAACCATGAGTAAAAGCATAACATTCACTTGATTTAATACTCTCTATGTAACTGTTAATAGTTTCTTGTGCAATATATCTCACCACATCGGTGTTTAACATTTTTTTACCTGGTACTACTAGCAGGAGTGCAATTAATAGGAACTGATATATCCAGCCAAGGGGGAATGGCATTAGTGGGTTCGTCTGGGGTGATTGGGACATTCAGTTTCAAGAGATCTGCAACATTTTTATGAAGCCATGCCCCAAAGAGAGTCTTTTCTGGAAGGTTAGCGAGATAGTCAGGATTACTTAGAACATCATTCAGTTTGAGCTGTAGTTTGGGGACCATTGTTCTTCAAAACTTTGACACAAAACATGGTATTAAGTAGAGCTATCCTCTCAGATAGAGAGGGCAGCCCGAGCCCTTTCCCCATGTTTACAATTCTGGTAGATTTTGGGCATCCTAGAATGATGCGCATGGCTTCATTTTGTACTACCTCAAGGCTGTTTTGTTGTTTAGCTGGAATAGTTACAAGATGGAGAGACTGGTTGCAAAATGCAAATTCATAATGCCAAGATTGGAATTTCATTCTGAATAGAGTTATTGTTTTGGGTTGAATCATGAATATGAAAATATAAGTCGTTAGGCTAATTTCGTTCATGGGGTTCACAGTCAAATAATTTTTTATAAGCTTCCTGTCTGTGATTCATCACTTTTTTTTTACTGAATTTGTAAATTCTCAAATATTTCAACAAACTAAAGACATTCTTCACTTTTTCTATGATTTTTTTATACGAGTGTTATGGAAAATGGGTGATTATATTGGTGATTTAATAATGTAACTATTCATCTCTTCTTTTGTAGCAACGGATAGCACAGGAGGTCCTCACAACCCTGAAAGAACATCCTGATGCTTGGACTCGTGTTGATGCTATTCTGGAATATTCACAAAACCAACAGACAAAGTACTATGCGTTGCAGATCCTTGAACAAGTTATTAATACGAGATGGAAGGTTTTACCTCGAGATCAATGTGAAGGTAAGAAATCTTGGGATGAAAGATCTTGTAGCAATACACATCTCGGAAAATTGCAATTTGTTGCACATCACTTTTTCATAGCAATGACAATGCGGTATTTTGTGTTAATTTTTTAGTATTGTAAAACTGATTGATATAATTGTATATCAATCAGTCATATAACTGTCAACACCTGGAATTATCTCTTGCTGTTTGTGTATATCATATATACGGGAAAAAATGTTCTTGATCTAATAGATCTCCATATACTGAAATAAAAGTTGTTACACATTGTCCTCTTATTTACATTGGGGATGTATTCTTGGAAAACATGACATTAGGTGAAAATGTAAATCAAAGCCAATTTTATCATTGGCATGATGAAAATTTAGGGTGTCATCCCTGGAAGCATCTTTTGGTCAAATTTTCAGAAAATAGACTTGTCCCTCTCTTTTTATTAGATAGATACATTCTTCAAAAGGTTTACACATCTTGAAATTAATGGAAACCTTTAAAATTGCAGTACTGTATAACTGAAGGTACCTTCATATGGTGGAAAATTTGGCTTTAAGACTTTAATTAATGAAATTGATTCATAAATTTGGTTGAAGAGCCAAGGTTGAGAGGTACTGTAGTTTAGTCGGAGACAAAAGGGTGAGATGCAACCTGTAGGGCATGGATAGTAAGTCTGAGGTCTAATGATTTAAAAGGAATTACACTACAGTATTTCAGATTTTATGCAAAAAAGTTAATTTTATTTGAGACCTAGAGTGTAGCATAATTGAAGGATGCATCAACCCCTTTGATTAAAATGCAGTGTTATTGGGTCTTAATGTTGTAAGTGGGAGTCAATCTAATGGTCAAGTCTTTTTCTTTGTTATTTTCAGTTTCACATTTTTGCCTGAATGTAATTAACTCACTCTATATGTAGAATGAAATGAATGATGAAAAGGGGGAAAAGTTATACTGTACAGTACCTACTTATTCAAGTAATTTCAGCTTCTTTACTGGAGATTTATTCCTACTCAGACACGACTACCCATGCATTCTGAATATCTTCATTATACTGTACTTAACTTTCCTATCTTTGTATTCCACTTCTCCTTGATTCATTATTTTTATTGATGTGATGGACCATTGGATAAATAGAATGAATAATTATCTTAATAGTTTTTAAAAAAATTAGGAATTGTTTTTGATGATAAAAGCTTAATAAGGAAATTTTTATATATTTGCTCAGTTGAGTATATTATCTGTGTACTCATGATCCAGATTGGATGAAAATTAAAAAAAATATTTTGAAGTATCCTCAAGGTATATTGATAATTTCTAGTCATTATTAGAGATATCTAATGGTTTGTCAGGCATGTTGGACCCACTTTAACATTTGTTATTAATTTTTACAGGTATCAAGAAATATATAGTCAATGTTATTATTAAATTGTCCAGCACACCAGACTCTCTTGACAGAGAGAAGGTTTATTTGAATAAGCTGAATATGATTCTTGTACAGGTGAGTAATAAAAGATTTTAATTACAGCCATACATCCTCTGAAATTTGAATGAACATTGTTTATATACAAATGGATATAGGGTGGTGCATCTTGAGTCTTCTCTTGCTAAAGAATTGCCATACTATTCATATGAAATTACTTGAAACAGATTCTGAAGCGTGAGTGGCCTAAAAACTGGCAGTCATTCATCCCAGACATTGTTGGAGCAAGTAAAACCAATGAATCTATGTGCCAGAATAATATGGTTATACTGAAACTGTTATCTGAGGAAGTGTTCGACTTTTCTACTGGACAGATGACACAGACCAAGGCAAAGCACCTCAAGGATACCATGTGCTCAGAATTTCAACAAGTTTTCCTTCTCTGTGTTTTTGTCATGGTGAGTGAAATTTGGATTAATTTAAATCAAGTTTATTTTATGTCTATGAATGCAGTACAGTTTAATGTTTTGTGGATATCCCTTAGATTACCATCTAAAATGTACCAATGCTTCTTAGTAAAAGCCTTTCACTGAATTGTATTGATTTTTCTATCTTTCAACTCACTTTTGGCTTTGCTATGTTTTTTTAAGCTATTCTTTCCCGTGTGTGTATACAATCTCTGTATATATATATATATATATATAATATATATATATAATATATATATATATATATATATATATATATATATATATATATATATATATATATATATATATATATATATATATATATATATATATATATATATATATATATATATATATATATATATATATATATATATATATATATATATATATATATATATATATATATATATAGTATGTACAGGGGTTCTCAACCGCCCCCCCTCAGGTTTTCAGGGGGGGGAAACTGATACTAATATGGAAAAAATAAAGGATTTTCAGTATTATATGCATATTATTGGAATGCACTTTTTGAGGCAGACAATCTTGGAAAGGAGGGGGGAATGACATTCTTACATATGGTGGGGCAAACAAGGTTGAGAACCACTGCTCTAAATGTTTTTGGGCTGTTTTTGCAAATCCTCCTAGAAATTTTATATCTTTGGGGACCCAGTTTTTAATTTAATTCATACATAACGAGTCTTTGCCTTTCCCTGGCCCTCCTACTCTCATCTTTGCCTGTTAATATTTCTGTTATTATCTCTTATCCCGAATTATAAAAGCAAAGCATCTTTTTTTTTCCTTTACATTTCAAGTACAGTATTTCTCTTGAAGTTTTTGGGAATCTTAGTACTTCATTTATTTTCCTATCAGTGCAGCTTATTCTTAGCATTTCCCTATAACACAACATTTCAAAGTCTTCTAACCTCTTTCTGGTGTCTGTTGAAAGTGTCCATGCAGCTTACCCGTACAACAGTCATTGCCATAAAAAAGCCTTTCAACGGCCTTTTTCTCAAATTGAAGTTAATGTCCCTTTTCATTAGGCCTTTTAGATTATTAAAAACACACACACACACACACGCACACGAGTCAGCTGGGTGACTGTTTGGCTGAACTGTGTCACGTTCCCCAGAGGATGGTTTGAGTGTGGAAGGGGATATTTTTTTTACATAAAATGTGTGCTCTTGTATTTCAGAATACAGTACTGTATACAGATATGTATTAATTTTATTGTTTATCATAGCAATTTCTGTTAATTTTTGACGTTCAAATTAGGCTCACCTTATGCTCACTAAATTGTTTAATTCTGAAGCACATCATTTACCTGTCTATCAAAGTTTGGTGTTAAAGAAATCATTCTTTTAATTTCAAGACCATTTATTAAGAGATAGGAAATATTGTACACTACTCACAAACGAAGGCAGATGTGTAGTCTCTAGGACAGGGGTGTCAAACTCATTTGCCAAGGCGGGCCAGATTTAAAATGAGGACACAGTATGCGGGCCAAGTAACATAATTATGAGCATTCGCAATCACCTCTTAGGTGAGTAGTACGACAAAATAAAAAAGGTGGATTTAGTCTGCGCTCGTGCGAAACACTTAAAAACAAACAAATCAAGTGTTTACTTACCTTGATCAATCTTATTGTTTGCTTCTGTTGCTTCCTGATAATTGGCACCTCTTGGTATGGACCAGTGCATCAAAGTTTGGCACTAACGACTGAGCTGTAGCAACTTTCAGTATTGAATTAAGGTGAGCATCAGTAAGTTGAGACTGAAGCCGAGACTTGTTCAAGTTCATCACAGAAAAGAGTTGTTCACAGACATGTACTTCCGAACATTGACAATCTTTGAGGCAAAACATTTAATCCTGGGATAATTTGTTCCAAAATATTGATAAAATGTGCCAACATCAACACTTGAAAACTTGTTCCTCAACACAATCACACTGGAGCTCATTGGTGATTTTGATTGAGTATATTGTTCTAGGAAACAGCGGACTATTTTATTCAGCGGACTATTTCATTCAGCTGAGGGATACTCACTATTTAGTTTCACCTCCTCAAGGTAAGGCTGGAGCAGCAAATAATAATAGTAATAATAATAATTAACGGTTTATTGAAAAAATTCTGCAGTCCGCTGGCTGAAAATATACATTGGACATAAATGACTTATTACATACATTGGTGGTTTAACAAAAGCCTTCATTAGAGAAAGGTAAAGGAACATACAGTGAACATACAGATTAATGTAGGTGTTGAACAGCAAACTCGTAGTGTAGTAACTCCCTCCCAGATGGTGTTAGGAGGAACTCACGTGGTGTAGTAGTTCCCTCAGATGGTGTTATTAGGGACCTGGCGTGGTGTAGTAATTCCCTCGCAGATGGTGTTATGAGGGGCCTCACGTGGTGTAGTAATTCCCTCACAGATGGTGTTATGAGGGACCTCACGTGGTGTAGTAATTACCTCACAGATGGTGTTATGAGGGACCTCATGTGGTGTAGTAATTACCTCACAGATGGTGTTATGAGGGGCCTCACGTGGTGTAATAACTCCCTCACAGATGGTGTTATGAGGGGCATCACGTGGTGTAGTAATTCTCTCACAGATGGTGTTATGATGGGCCTGACGTGGTGTAGTAATTCTCTCACAGATGGTGTTATGAGGGACCTCACGTGGTGTAGTAATTCCCTCACAGATGGTGTGATGAGGGACTTGACGTGGTGTAGTAATTCCCTCATATGGTGTTATCAGGGACATGTGGTGTAGTAATTCCCTCACAGATGGTGTTATATGAGTGAGGTTTGGTCTTAGGCCTTCCTATCGTAGACGGATTAACACATCGCTGGTTGTTGTTGGGTCTCACGGGCCGTTATCGCTGGGTACCTGGGACCTCACTGTGTGAAGGTTAACTTGGGTACGACTGTTACTGTTGAGTTGTTCTCACTGACTTAAGCACTGTTCACCTCTGTTTAACACTGGTTCCGTTCCTTTCCTAAATGAAATTGTAACTTCTGGTGAGAACTTGTTGATATTCCGGTGGGGAGGAGGGTTCAGGGGAGGGGGTTGGTATGGGCCAACTTAACAGTTGACCTGGCTGCTCCGAGAGGAGCGCCAGGTACGTCTTGACCCTTCGGTGGTCATTGGGCTGCAGGCCGCATGCAAGAGTGTGTCAGGCCGCATGTTTGACACCCCTGCTCTAGGAGAAGAGGGGTGGTTGTAGTGGTGGTGGCGTTACATGTGAAATGTTGATGGTTGTGGATTGTTTGGGTTGTCATAAACGTCGGAGATGTTACTCTCGGCTACAGGCGAAGGTGTATGCTGCTGTGGTGCTGGAGGTGATGAAGCAAGGTCGGGTAGGCTAACAGATTTCTCAGCTCGGTTAATGTCATCCTTAAAACTCAGAGCAAGTGAAGGTAATGATTTCAAAGTTAAACAGTTGATTTATTAATACCAAATTTATATATGAACAATGTGTTTTAGAGTTAAATGATTTAATGAGCCTAATTTGAAAAAAAAATCAAATTGCATACATTAAAAAATTAAATTATGATAAACAATAAAATTGATACATAGCATATCATAAAATTCAATAGCACATATTTTATGAAAAAAAAAATAGTCCCTTCTTCACTCAAACCATCTTCTGGCCGTCGTTACACAGTTCACCTGGGCAATCACCCAGCTGACTCCGAGACGTGTGCTTGTGTAGGCGTGAGCGAAGGTGGGTGGCAAGTCGGTGACTTGGTTACAGTCCAATGTCTCCTGAGTCCACTCACACACACCCGTGCTCTTCATTTTTCTTATTTTTTAGTTTTATATTATGTTTTCTTTATTTCTAAGCCACATTAGAGTACATTACTGTATTGTAATGATTTTTCCAAAACTTTTATAAGTTTCATTACATGTAACAATGGCAACATGCCATCTCACAGGCCACACGTTCCCCAGTCTTTATCTCTTCCTATATGTTGCAATGAACACATATTAGCAAATTTTTTTTGGTATCGAGTTACCAGGTAATTTCGGGTTGAAGTAGGGTTCTCGGATAATTGCAAATTCACATATAGTGAGTGTGCATAAAGCGAGGGTCAGGTGTATATACAATTCAATATTTTTAAGCAAACATTTGACCCCATTCTTGCCCATTTGTTTTACAAATTTTGTTAGGCCTGTTTTATTTAGGCAGTGGTGGCCACAGTCTACCATACACTTCATTCCGTCCCGTACACACCATCAGGCACCATCGCAATGGCCATCATTACCAAGATCATTGCACCTGTGGATTGTGCACCTGTAGCCTCACTTCACCTCATCATTACCATCACAAGCCCACCTGTGGGGGAGTGTGTACCTAATCTCATCCATATCTCACTTCACCGTGAACACCACTGCCACCACAAGTCACCTGCTTGGTAATCTGGAAAGTCTTATTTATCCGTCTTAGTACCTCATCCCATCACTTATCCTTGTGTACACTTGCCTGGGCCTCTACACAGTGTTTTATAATTTTTTGTTTAAGATCAATGCTCTATGAGAATTGTCATACAGTATTAATGAGAAAAAATTGCAATTATATGACCTCCTTATGGAGACAACTTTTGCAAAATCAAGGGATTACTTTATTCAAATGTCACAGATGGCTAGCCATGTTTCAGTTTTATTACATGATAAAGAGTTTGCCATGATTTCTTAAACTGCCACCACAGATGGTTTGTGTTTCTTCCTTTCTTTATGCTATTTAATACATATTGAACATTTATCAGCTTGAAATGCTGATATGTAATTTTCCATTTATTTGGTCTAGCAGAACAATACTAAAAAAAATTGATACTATAAAGAGCCCAGTTCCCAAATCTCCAAAGGTTCTCATTCCTAACTCTAAAAACAAATTTATTCTGTTCCAGGAAAACTCCCAGAACCCAACGCTTGTTAGTGCCACACTAGAAACTCTTCTCAGGTTTCTCAACTGGATTCCTCTTGGTTATATTTTTGAGACCAAGTTAATCAGTACCCTTATATACAAGGTATTCATTATACTTATGTATTAGATAAGTTTCTTATGTTAAATATGGTTATTGAAGCTTTAACTTTTCATTGAAAATTAAATATAATTTTGTCATGTGACTTTGAATTCCATCATTTGAGATATTTTTTTTTCAAACTTTATACTTTGGTGTTGGCTCATGACTAATACATGTAAAAATTTCTTTACAGTTTCTAGGCCTTCCACTGTTTCGGAATGTGACACTCAAGTGTCTGACAGAGATAGCTGGTGTTGCTGTTCCTTCATATGATGAATCTTACATTATGATGTTCTCCCAGACTATCACACAGCTGCAAGAGGTCAGAATTTTACATACAGTATTGCATACAATTAACAGTTCTTTGGGTGTAGCTTATGCTTAAATGCATATACTGTATAGTATTACCATAATTATATACAGTCAACCTTCAATTTATTGAAGGTTTATGTTTCCGAAAAGTTGTCTGTAACTCAGTTTGTTTTCTCGTTGACTTCCATTATAAAACTGGAGGTATGTTCAAACGGGACCCCCTCCACCCCACACACACACACATATGCATAAACATAATAAAATAACCCCAATTACCTTTATAATTACACATTAAAAATATTTTTTTTAGAACTACCAGTACACGTATTTATGAGAAACATATTAATAATAGAGATATTTAAGGTAAATAAGAGGCTCATTCATTATTGTTACATGTTTTTGGTTGCATTGGTGTGGGGTTGGCATCATAGTCTGGATATATATATATATATATATATATTTTTTTTTTTTCATCTCATAACCTTGAATTTTCACAAACTGAAGCTTCATAAATCAGGGTCTACATATATTATGTTTTATTTAGGTATCCTTGCCTTTATTTGTGTTTCTGTATGTTTGTTACTTACATAGATTGTGCCATTTAAAAGCTATTTTTTATGCAAAATCACAATTTGGGCCCCATACATCCTCTAAGGATGTGTATTGGTAATGTAGCATCAATACACATATAATAAAACACTCATTATCTCTATAATTTATTAATGGGTCCTTGCATTTATTTCTATGTCTTCATAATTGTTATATACATATACCATTTAAAAGCACTGTAATTTAACACTAGTTTGCACTCATGATTGTAAAGTGTGCTGCTGGTAAATTACAAAAGAACAATCAAGTGAAGCAAACCAATAATGTGTTTGTACAGTATGAGGTGGATGGTGGCTAGTGAAGAACTGAGTACAGTAATGTAGTAGGGATGCTAAGATACTTTTTCCAGGAAACATACATCTATCGATTGTGTTTTGTGTAATTTGGTAACTGTTGAATAGTATAGTACAGTGCTGTATATGCATATGAGGTAGTGTTTTCCCCCTTAATTAATGTCTTTATGCAGGTTTCTTTATGATTATATTATCTGATACAAGTACTTCACAAATTTAGTTAGTTTTAAATTATCAGGAGCCTGATTTATAAAAAGATGAATGACACATAATTAAAAAAAAAGTCGGCAAAAAATAACAGTCTTAGAGCAAAGGAAAAATCATGTTTGAAAAGTAAGAGATGGTTAGTACTGAACTGTATTTTACATTATGGAAAGAGTATTGGTTTTGAAGTCACCCAATTTAGATAGGGAAATTTGGTTGGTATTTGATTCTTAAGAGATGCTAAATTGTTCATTACATGAATCTATTGCCAGATGCTGCCATTAGAAACAAATATTAGAGAAGCATATGCTAATGGCCAAGATGCAGAACAGCAGTTTATTCAGAATCTGGCTCTGTTCTTATGCACCTTCCTTAAGGAGCGAGGATCATTGGTGGAGCGTAAACAACTTAGTGAAGCTTTGCTCAAGGTAAGTTTTGAATATATTATTAAAAGAGTATGATTCTCTAGATAATGTTAAATATCTTGTCAATGTAAATAGTAAAATTGAATTCCTCTGTTCTCTGAGCATCAGAACCTATGGTTTTATGACTGCCTAAGCACATTTTGTGCAGGTTTTTCTATTTTTAGGATGATTTCTATCTACATTTACAAAGCACATTCAATGTAAAACTTGTGGATTGTACATGGTCTCATCATTTCACTGGTACATACCACCAAAATAGTAACTAAACTGTAGTGGTTCAGATCCCAGATGCACTAGGATTGTGCTAACACTTCAGATAAGATTCTAGTATAGGAAATGTTTTAATTGTACTTCTTTAAGTTTGATCGATTTGTCTAATATTTACATATTTTTTCATAAAAATTTTGATATATATTTATGCAAGTAATTTTTTTAACCCAGGCATTGCAGTACCTGATTTTGATATCCGAAGTAGAAGATACAGAAATATTCAAAATTTGCCTGGAGTACTGGAACGCACTCGCTTCTGATTTATATCGAGAATCCCCGTTCTTACCCCCAACTGGTGCATCCCCACTTTATCTTCCAAGACCAAACTCAAGACGACAGTTTTATCAACCAATTCTAACGAAGGTTTGTTGTTATTTATGTATTGTATTTTATTTAGAAGACAAATTCTAAATAATCCTATATTGGGATATGCTTTAGGAAGATCAACCAGAACTATGTACAGTCAACAACTTTGTATTGCATGTGAACGATTTGGGTTAATAAAAAGTGACAATATCAGAATGGGCTCCAGGTACATTACTGTTTTAGCCAGAAAATAATGAACTCTAACCAAATTTAACTAAAACAATATACCTGTAGCTTAATATTTCAGAAAGGGTACTGTTTAAAGAGGTGTAGCAGTCCTTTTGGACTTCTTACATTATTTATAGGAGTATAATTCCCATACAACTTGGTCAAGTTTCTCAAACCTTGATTTATAAAGCACAGTACTTAAAATTCACTCATATCCCAAACAAACACTCTCACTTGTAGAATAAAATTTAAAGAAATGATCTTTTTGTTATAAAATATCACATACAGTTGACTTTAAAATATTAAATTAAGAACAAACCCTTGGTCTTGGTTTACAGCATTCAATTTGTTGTATGATGATTACTTTTTGTTCAGGTCTGTGCACCTGCTTTCTCTTCTTGGCTTCAGTTGAGGAACTTGTTGAATGCGAACTAATATTTTTATCCATCATAGGGAAATGATTTAATTTTAAAAAGATACAATATAAAGATAATGGTGGAGGTAATTTATACTATACAAGTAACTCCCTCTAACCTGGACTCGCTCAATCCACATCCAGCACCGGAAACATGTATCCCCAACCCTGAAAATGAACAAAATCTGGTTAGTACAGGGGAAAGTCTGCTTAAGTGGGGGTTGCCACAGTGGTGGCACAAAGGGTAATTCAGCAGCTGCCTCTGAGGAAGCTGCCCACCCGGGCACAGGTCACTGACCCACATCGGGTCCTGTGGGGCGAAAATGTAATAATAATAATAATGGGAATAATAATAATTCATAATAAATAAAATGTATAATAAAAAGAAATATATAAATAATAATATAATAATAATAATAAAAAAATAAAATAATAATAAAGAGATACAAAAATGAAATTAAAAAGATCGCGAGCGAGTGAGAAACAATACTGTACAGTATGTTGTGTTGTGAATAGTAAGATAAACAATTGAGACCCTGCAATTGTGTGTAAATGAGGCAGAAAGTCAGATCAGCAACCTGGGACTTGGTCCCACCAATTGTGATGCCATATGACAGCAGGGTGTACCATTAGACCACACATTATGCTTCCAATATCTTCCCAGGCGGTAGTACCTCCCTGTTTGGTAGCTGCCTACTACCTAAGTACAGTAGTATGTGCAGTAATATTGTATACCGTATGAAACATTTTTTACTTTGTTTGATTCTCTTATCACTCTCCCATTGTTTTAGGCTGCGGCCACGAGTGAAAATATTTACAATGAGCAAAAAAGTATATTGACTTATATCCACAATATCCGTTCTAATTGTGTTAGAAAGATGAATTTGGCACCGTAATGATCCTGAATAAATTCTTGATAAGGTTTCAATAAAAGATTCTTAAATAAATAATTTCAATATACTATAATGCTGGAACTCAAGTTTTATGAAAAACGTAAGAAAAGTTTATACGTACTACTGGTCTAAAAAAAAATTCTAATTAAGTTAGAAATAATTTTGTTTACCAAAATGTTCATAAATAGATTTAGAAAAAGCTTGTTCAAATAAATATATATGATACGAGGCATCAAATGGGGGTATTTTGGGGTCGCAAGGATTGAAGGAAACTGTGTCATAGCCGAGACAGTACACACTGCTACCAGGCATACGCGAGCTCCCGGCAACATCAGCCACTCCATGACTCACTAAATACAGCTGTATGGAGAACCAGCAGCAAACTGCTGAGAGCATAATTATGAGATATCGAGGAAAATTTAACATTTATTCCCACAAGGTAAAACTCCAAATGGCCAAAGAAAACGTAAATATGGCGGAGAAAATTCCTGAGTGAGTCGAGTCTAACCTAAAGATTAAAGTAGGTTAGGTGTTCTCAGGTAGTTTGGGTTGGAAATCCTCCCACCCTATAGAATTTTTCACCCTGCAAAACAGACAATGCAGACTCCTGCCCAACTTTGAATTTTGGCCAAACCTGAGGCTTCCCCCCCCCCCAATTAGTCTGGATTAGAGGGAGTTTACTGTAGTTTGATAGGCACCAGCTACTGTAGATCAAAATAAACAGGTCTATTTACATATGCTTGAATTATGTTTCATCAAAATTGTGAAGTTTTTAATAAAATATAAGGGCACTTTTTTCCAGATTAATCATGCATCATGCACAGTATTTTAATAGCAATGTTTATATGCATTATACTCCATAGACTCAATTGCACATATGTGGCTCAGCTGAGATTGGAGAATTTGGTATTCTCAGAATTAAGAAAATAAATCCATTTAATATATTATTATTAGTATTTTCCATTAGTATTCCATTGTTTTACTGTTAGATTTAATAATAATTTTTTACATCCCGTACAATGTACTGTAGTGGTAACATAAGATGACATTGCTTTATAGGTGAGAGCCTTGATGATTAGTCGGATGGCTAAACCTGAAGAAGTGTTGGTTGTAGAGAACGAGCAGGGCGAGGTAGTAAGAGAATTTATGCGTGACACCGACTCAATTAATATGTACAAGAACATGAGAGAAACTCTTGTCTACCTCACTCATTTAGACTACGCTGATACAGAACGCATCATGACAGAAAAGTTGGCAAATCAGGTATGTAAATATGTTTGGTGTTATCTTTTTTGCAGTGTGTTTGCGCGTAGGGAGTTTACATGTACCTCTCCATAATGTCTTTTTTGATTATTGGCATCCAAATTAACACTGAGAGTTTGTTTAAGTTGATTTGCCTCTATGTGGAAATAGTAATTAGATGATAATATCCTGTTTATATAATTTTCACAATTTCCTTTTCTTAGGTAAATGGCACTGAGTGGTCTTGGCGAAATCTTAACACCCTCTGTTGGGCTGTAGGGTCCATTAGTGGGGCCATGCCTGAAGAAGACGAGAAACGTTTCTTAGTGATAGTGATAAAGGATTTACTGGGGCTGTGTGAACAGAAAAGAGGCAAGGACAATAAAGCAATCATTGCCTCAAATATTATGTACATTGTTGGACAGTATCCTAGATTTCTTCGTATACACTGGCGCTTCCTCAAGACTGTCATCAACAAACTTTTTGAATTCATGCATGGTGAGTACACACTTTTCAGCTAAGTAAATAGTCAGTCTAATATGTCTGAAATTTTGGATTTGGGTTCTGTAAGTGTTGATATTTTCAGGTGGGTGAATATGACAATCATTTATATTTTATTCCTTGTCTTGTACAGTAAAGTATGTACAAAATCCATTTTAATTTAGAAGAACACTTATTTTTAGGAATTGCATAAAGAAAAATATTATTTTAGTATATGATAAAGTATTTACTGTATTAATAGCGAAGAGATTAATTGGTTGGCAGACCATGTGTCAGTTACATCATGGTTTATTCTTTTTGATAACCTTTACTTTCTGCAGTAACTTCCTTAGGAAAAATATGATGCCAAAATATCCACTTTATTTTTAGATGTTTCAGAAAGTTTTTTGCTGGCACTGTACCATACAGGTATATGGTTTTCATCCCCTCCCTCCCTCTCTCTCTCTCACTCTCTTAACTAGAAACTCATGATGGTGTTCAGGATATGGCATGTGATACATTCATCAAGATTGCTCAGAAATGTCGCCGTCAGTTTGTACAGATGCAAGTTGGAGAAGCCATGCCCTTCATTGAGGAAATACTTTCATCTATTAATTCAATCATTTGTGATCTGCAACCACAACAGGTAGGTTTTACAATTTCTAATCAATTCATGTAACTGCAGGCACTCAAATACACAGATGGAGACAGAGAGCAAGTAAGTGGGATGAGGATACAAAATGTGGTCTGGCTTTAGGAAGTCTTAATTATCATACTTGGATGGGATTAGATTGATGCCCATGATAGTTAATATTTTTGAAGTGCCATTGCATCTTTTTTGCTGGTTTATGATTAAAATTTGAGTGAGAAAGTTAAGAATTTTGTTGCCATGTTTTGTTTGATGCTGACAGTTATAGGGTGGGTGGTAAAGAACAACGTGTAACTGTAGATGGATCTAAAAAAAACGAATGCTGAAAAGCAATGAAAGAATCACATTATATATGAAATACAGGGACATTTACAATTATTAAAAATTGTGTTGTATGAGCATGTGAGGTGATAAAATACAGGTAATAGAGATGTTTAAGTGTAAACAAAGATACGGAGAGAAATAAGATAATTCAGAATTAATTGTAATCTTATGTATTTTAAAGTATTTTGTTTCTAAAGATAATATTGCTTTCTCTTTCAGGTTCACACTTTCTATGAAGCAGTTGGTTACATGATTAGTGCACAAAGTGACCAAGTTGTTCAAGAACACCTCATTGAGAAGTATATGATGCTACCCAACCAGGTTTGGGATGAGATCATCAACCAGGCATCAAGGGTTAGTCATTTTATGCATTCTGTTCTTGTAGTTTTACAGCAATTATTTGAATGAATTGAAGATGATGTACTATATGTGAAATACTCTATTATACTATACGTTTAGGAAATTATATTAAGTAATATCTCCTGTGTTGTCTTTTTTTATTCCAAAGGGCTGGAAAATAAAAAAAATCAAACCTATTAGCTCTTTTTACTCTTGAAACAGGTGGTTGTATGTAGATCAGGGGTGTCAAACTCATTTGCCAAGGCGGGCCAGATTTAATCTGAGTACACAGTATGCGGGCCAAGTAACATAGTTATGAGCACTTCGCAATCACCTCTTAGGTGAGTAGTACGACAAAATAAAAAAGGTGGATTTAGTCTGCGCTCGTGCGAAACACTTAAAAACAAACAAATCAAGTGTTTACTTTCCTTGATCAATCTTATTGTTTGCTACTGTTGCTTTCTGATAATTGGCACCTCTTGGTATGGACCAGTGCATCAAAGTTTGGCACTAACGACTGAGCTGTAGCAACTTTCAGTATTGAATTAAGGTGCGCATCAGTAAGTTGAGACCGAAGCCGAGACTTGTTCAAGTTCATCACAGAAAAGAGTTGTTCACAGACATATGTACTTCCGAATATTGACAATCTTTGAGGCAAAACATTTAATCCTGGGATAATTTGTTCCAAAATATTGATCAAATGTGCCAACATCAACACTCGAAAACTTGTTCCTCAACACAGAATCACACTGGAGCTCAATTAATTCTAACTGAAGATGTTCTGGTACCTCATTAACACCAACAGAGAATGGGTCCTGAAAAATTAAAAAAATCCTTCTCAAGTCTTCTAAATTCAGCAAATCTTTCTTGGAACTCATTCATTAATTTGGAAATCTTGATGCAGTAGTTTTTTGTGTCGATATCAGCATGAAACTCAGGTGTGCCTTGCAGGGACTTCAAGGTCTCAAAGTGAGAAAGATTACTCTCTGATAGTTGCCGTTCAAAAAGCTGAAGTTTCATCTCAAAGGCACGAATGCAGTCATAAATCTCTGTCACCAATTTATTGCGTCCTTGCATCTTTGTATTCAAGTAATTTAAGTGTTCTGTAATATCCACCATGAAAGTTAGATCTTGTACCCATTCATTATCTTTCAGTTCATGCAAATCCCTTCCTTTCTGTTCCATAAACATCTGTATTTCACTGCGCAATTCATAAAATCGCTTCAGTACGACTCCCCGACTTAACTAGCGAACATCAGTGTGATATGGCAGTCCGTGTGTGTTCTCATTTTCTTCCAATAAGCAGTTGAACTGTCTGTGGTTCAGACCTTGTGCGCGTATGAAGTTCACTGTCTTTATACAACTAACAACATCCATGACATTATCCATCTTTAATGTTTTACTACACAACACTTCTTTATGCATAATACAATGCACATTATAAATTTGATGGTTCGGGTTCACAGCAATTAGTTTTTCCTTTAATTTTGTTACCAATTAACCGTTAAAACCATCTCTAGTCTCATTGTTCTTTCATTGGTAATGTTGATTGAGTACTTTGTACATGAGGTTTCTTAGAGATATTCTTATAGACTGTACAGTATTGGCAAAAATTTTCCTGACACATACAATTTCTACACACACCTTGGAGGTTGTGAAACTATAGTCAGTTACTATGATTTTAGAGATTAACTTACTTTGAAAACAAGGAATTATAGTTTTATAACCAATTAACCCTTTGGGTATGATGGGTCTCTCTGTGCTGAATAAAATCATCTGGGCATCATCCAAATAAAATATTAAAAGTGGCATCCCATAGGCCATAGTGAAGGGGTTAGTGGAGATGGCTTAATAACCACTTAAGCATGAGGCATTTCTTTGTGCAGAGTAAGTGTGGTGTTAGCCAAATAAAATATTAAAAGTGGTGTTTCATACTGATGGGGTTGATACACCTCCCCAGTTCACTCTCACGTCTAACCTGGGAAGAGAAGTACAGTACTGTGGCTATTAGTATTTCGAAGAGGATTCGATTTTAAAAGGAAACAAGGCCAGTGATTCTTTGCCAAGATTACTTGGCAAATGAATATGCGTAGTTCCCTTAAATAGGTTTAGCAACCGTAATTGATGATTAAGCAGGCTGTCCAGAACAAAACCAGAAAAATCCAAGGAAAGTGTAGATAACAAGAAATAGAATATATGAAGATTGGATTAACTTTAGAACAATGAAAAGTAAAAGATTAATACAAGCGACGGGAACTATTCCTATAGTGTACAGTACACTATTTTTAATTGTTTGATTATTTTTGAGAACTCCACTATAAAGGAGCTACATTTTCAGAGGATTAATAAATTGAGGTACACAGTATTATTGTACTGTAGTGTCTATTTCTAGACTCAAATCTCAATTGTTTTATTACCATTTTGGGTCCTGAGGTAATAGATATAAAAGTTCTTTTGACCTTGATCTCATATAATCTTGTAGAAGCTGTATCTTTCTTACTATTGTATGTAGTAAGATGATTTTAATGTTGCTTATTAGATTTTGAAGTGATCTGCAACTTTATTGGACAAAAAGAAATGTCAGGTAATACTGTAAGTGTAATTGGGTGGACACGACTGTACAATAACTTACAGAATTGCTTGTGAAAGGGTTAAGCCTTACTATCTTTTCTAATGAACATTTAGCTGCATCATGAAGCTTTTGTTTACAACTTTGATGCTGTTTCTTAAAGACTGTACTGTTATATTGCATAGATTATGGAGTCTTTCTTTTCCTCATATAAAATTGCGATAAACTTTCCTACTTTACAGAATGTTGACATTTTGAAAGACCCAGATGTTGTGAAGCAGCTAGCAAATATTTTAAAGACCAATGTAAGAGCATGCAAGGCTTTAGGACATCCATTTGTGTCTCAGGTATGTAAAGGTTTTTTTTTTTAAAGGCTTTATTACTGCAGGAAATATGTTAATAGTTTTTGAAAAGTATTATTTTGAAGGAGAAATATACCTCATGGTAGCATATGCAGTTCAGTATATTGTATACCTGTATAATATGAGACATTGTATATAATATGAGACAACTTTGAACTTCATGATGAATAGGTCTTGTTGATACAGTATTACTCTGCTTGTGTCTTTACTGAATTTTTTTACTCCACTGTTAATACATGTATTGAATAGTGTAAGAAAATATAATTATTGTTATTTATTCCACCGTTGAATTAAGTGGCTTGATTCTGCATCATATTTTTCAGCTTGGACGCATCTATCTTGACATGCTGAATGTTTACAAGGTTATGAGTGAGAATATCAGTGCAGCTATTGCTCTTAATGGTGAAGGGGTCACTAAACAGCCTCTCATCAAGTCCATGCGTGTAGTAAAGAAAGAAACTCTAAAACTCATCTCTGGATGGGTGTCTCGATCAGATGACCATTCATTAGTTCTGGATAACTTCATTCCACCTCTGCTAGAAGCAGTTTTAATGGATTATCAGGTATGGCATTGCACTTTATTGTTATGTGATTTATAAATAGTGATTTAATGAATAGGAACTAATTAGAGAGAATTTTTGTTTTATCTGTGTATACTGTACAATGATTATAACAAGTGTCTTTGAGTCCATATAGTTGGGCGGGTTAGAAAAATTGTGTGCGTGAGAAAGAGATAATGGACAAGTATGTACATGATTAAGTAACAGATTTTTGTTTTATTGCATTTTGAAGCTTAATTGATATACTTTTAATGTTTCAGCGAACTGGTGTTCCCTCAGCACGAGAACCAGAAGTTTTATCCACAATGGCCACAATCGTAAATAAGCTAGAGTCACACATAACGCAGCAAGTTCCCAAAATATTTGATGCAGTTTTTGAATGTACATTGTCAATGATCAACAAAGACTTTGAAGAGTTCCCAGAGCACAGAACAAATTTCTTCCTTCTTTTACAGGTAAGTTTCATAAATAATTTAAAAGTGAATTAAGTAAATTCCAGTATGACTTACTTTTTTTTTTTTTTTTTAAGGGGATTAGCCCACCCGGTCACAGGTCAATGACCCACATCAGGGCCTGGGAGGCAAAGATATCTAATAATAATAGAATACAAATTAAAATGATTAATTATAATTTTGATAATATAGGACCATAAACAAATGCAAAAAAAAAAGAAAAGAAAAAAAAGGAAGATCAATAGTGAGAAACGATAGATATGAGTTGTGTTGTCAAAGTAAGAGAAACAATTGAGACCCTGCAATTGTGTGTAAATGAGGCAGAAAGTCGGATCAGCAACATGGGACTTGGTCACAATTTTCGTGATGCCATATGGCAGCAGGGTCTACCATTAGACAACACATTATGCTTCCAATATCTTCCCAGGCGGTAGTACCTCCCTGTTTGATAGCTGCCTACTACCTACTACCTTGAAACCCCTAACTGGTGAAGTGATGTAGGTTAACCATTTACTGCATACACAAATTATGGATGTAAGCAAATAATAATGTGTGTGTATATTACTGCTCTTTGTTCAGGCCCTTTCCTGTTGCTCTCTTCACTAATCTTGTACCACATTCCTGAATGTTCCCCCCTTCATTCTGGTTCCTAAAATCCCAAGCACCAGACTAATGAAGCCACAGCACCATTGTTACTCAGACGGAATCCGATATTCGGACGTCCATATCGGCAGGGAGGGACAACCGTTCAAAACAACAGGCAGCATATTACACTAACACTGATTGACTTATTTAAACTCATAATAAACTAGTTCAAGTAAGATATTCATACTTATGATATACTATCAGTAATTTATTTATTTATTTATTTTTTATTTATATTTTTGTCTGTGTTAATAGATTTAGGTGAGGTTCTTGATTCTGGAACTTTCAGAGACAGGGAAAATTTTTTAAAGTTCCTGAGTCCCAGGCATATGTATGTATGTATGTAATAATGCGTGCATTGTGAGATAAAGTGGATCATGTGGATGTGTACAGTATACCTGTGTCAATGAAGTGGATATGTTTACAAAATCCACTTTGTTGTCATAAGGTAGATTTAAAAATTAGTAAAAGGAATCGGTTCCAGTTTTTTGGTATTCCGTATTTTACTTATGTCCAAAAGAGAGAGAAAAAAAGAAAAAATTGCTATAGTAAATAATGAAAATAATACATAGCACACCAGAAAATACAATAGCACACATTTTGTAAGAAAAAAAAAGCTCCTTTCACCCTTGAACATTTCTATGGGTAACACTGAGAGTGGAGAGTTCAGCCAGTTAGCTGACTTGAGAGATGTGTGGCTGCTACACCGTGTATGCCGTGACGTCACATTGTGGAGTGTGTGACGCATCCATACACATGTTCCCCTCCCTCACAGAATACTGTTCACACTCAAGCCCTTCATTTTTCTTTTCTTATACAGTGGTCCCTCGGTTAATGAACGGTTCGATTAACGAAATTTCGGTTAACGAATTACCTCCCATAAGGATCTTCAATTCAGTTAACGAACAAAACTTTGATTAACGAAATCCTTACGAACATCACGTTTTGTTTGAGCATCAGCTGATGGGCTAGTCTGCCAATTCAGTAATCTGTTTTATGTTTACATTTGTTTCCGGTGGTGTAAATATCAAGAAAGTTGTGCTCTTTAATATTTTTGCATTTTTTTATATTAAAATTGTTAGTAATTTTAACATTTATTTAACATATTGATAATATATGCAGTACAGGGAACTAGTTTTTTGTGCGCCCATCAGACGCTTGACTCGGCCAACAGGCGTCAGTTGGGCTCTGTTGACAGTGGAGTGAACATCTAATTTGTTGATTTCTTGAATATTTTGCATTTTTCATTGAAATTATTGGTCATTCTGAAATTTAGCTATCATATTGATAATATATAGTGCAGTGCAGTGTTGATTTAAATAAAATAATCTTGAATTACACCTAGTGAACTTAAAATTTTATGGGTGAAATGATGGCATCAAGCATGGGTCCCCTGAAAGGTGATTTCTCCTCCATCCCCACTTCCTTTTCTTCTCCCTTCTAATTCCCATCATCATCATCATCAACCAGGAACCTTCTACATACACACCTCAAAGTAAGTGTACTTTACAGCAATTTTTTTTTTACTTTGTATGTACTTTTCGGTGAGCTGGAACCAATTATCCAATATCCCATTGAAACGATGGATTTTGTTAACGAAATTTTCGGTTAATGAACGTCTCTGGAACGAATTGTGTTCGTTAACTGAGGGACCACTGTAGTTGTGTGTTATACTGTGTTATGTAGTGAAGATTATATGGGTGTGTATCGAACCCACTTTCTCTCAGCGCAGACGAAGTGGCTCACATGATATGCTTTCAGTATACAGTACTGTACAGTATTTAGTTACAAATTTCTGCATTATCTCAGGAACAGTGTTTATTGTCGACCAATGGCTAGCACTTCAAGTTTATCCTTCATGGTAAGGCACTTTCTGCTATTTGGGGCCTTTCCTGAATATGCAGTACTTGTTTGGGCATTGATCTCACAATGTGTGTTATTTATATGTCACGAAAGAACAAGCACTTCTGCACTGAGTAATAGTCACAAGTAGACTGAGTACTGTGCAGCTGTGTTGTTTTGATGTGGGCGGCCCATGCTGCGTCGCTCCATAACAATAACCTGTATAATATGTAGGATAGTTTTTCAAATTGTAAAATAATTTTTTCATAAATGTGTCGTTATACGGACATGTCATTTTTCTGGTGGTCCGGTACTCAGGGTATTTACTGTAATAGAGTGAAAAAAATTTAGTTGTAGCTAACATTAATACTATTTATAATTATTTTCAGGCCGTCAATACACACTGCTTTACGGCTCTACTTAGTATTTCACCAGCCCAGTTCAAGCTTGTGCTGGATTCCATTATATGGGCATTCAAACATACAATGCGTAATGTAGCTGATACTGGCTTGCAAATCCTTTACCAGTTACTGCAGAATATCTCAACTCAAGACAGTGCTGCCAGCAGCTTCTATCAAACGTACTATACAGACATCTTACAGCATATCTTCTCTGTTGTGACAGACTCGTCACACACTGCTGGTAAGTCTCCTGTTTTTGTTTATGAGGTTTGTTACAGTCTTGGCATTATAGATTTAATTATAAAGGTGTGGAAGATATGAGGTGTCTCCAAATTCGTTCCTTGGAGTTTTGAAGTTATGAATTTTTTTGTTTAGTGGATGGGGAAACATAAATAGGTACTGTAGTTAATTGTTTAACGTCAGTTGGTCATGGACACAGTTCTGTAGTAGAAGAAAAGAAGATGCCCATTCTCATGTGGTATTGGTCACATTCTTATTGCCACCACATTATGCTGTGCCTCATCACTCCTGAAAACATTTCTTTTTTGGGAAGGGTATTTCTCAGTTTTCTTGGCTTCATTTTATTTGTATGCTTGTTTAATAGCTTGCTGACCATATGCAGCTATAATGAAGGTGAAACTGCTTCACCTTCATTATAGCTGCATTTGGTCAGTGACTGCATTTTAAATGTAGCCAGATCCCAAAGGAAACAAGACATTGCATATACAGTATAGATAAATTTTTAACACACACACACAAAGAGAAAGACTGTTATCTTGGGATTATTCCTTGCAGTAAATTGTAGTTATATATTCAGAGGAAATGTGTTTTTGTGGGTTTCAATGCATGGGAGTGATAACTGGGTGGTTACAGTGCTTGCCTCCTGGCATTAGGGTTATTAATTCATTCCAGAAGCATAAACCCCAGTTTTCTCGGCTGTAAAATTGGTACCCAACTTCACACTTCAAGCAAGTGAAGGCAGTTGAATGTAGTGTTGGTGACAATGCTCCTTATGTACTAAAAAAGTCTACAGTATGCTTTATCTTAACTACCCTTTCAGGATTAATTTGAACTTTTATTATACAGTATATACAGTACAGATACTACTTTTCATTATATTTGTCTTTAATGTATGTATTTGGTATCTGACATTAAACCTCTGAGTGACACTTAGAAATATAATTTTCTACTGAAGTTGTCTTTCAAGTGGTACAGTATTGTGATGTGCAGCAAATGAATGATCTCAGCCTGATGAAGGAAATGTATGTGAGTGAAATGAAGGGAAGGAGAGAAAGAAGATAATTGAGTGTGGTTATAAAAATGTAGAAGAAAGCTGTGAAACGAGGCTTTCTTAGAGGAGGCAGGGCTTCCTAGTGTGATGGATTGAGAAGGCTGGGCAGATAGTATAATTACCCAAATTAGTCCTTGTATGTTTCAAGTATCTTTGAGGGCAAACAGAATCTTTATAAGAGTATTGAGCTCATGTAATGATGGAAAAGAAGAAATTCAAATTTGTGTTTTTATAGTAAGGACTAAAGTTTACATTTCTTCTTTCAGGATTAACGATGCATGCATCCATATTGGCATACATGTTCACCTTGGTGGAGCAGAATCGCATTACTATCAGTCTGGATGCTGCAAATTCTAATGCACCTAGTACAAACAATGTTACATACGTACAGGGCTTTGTGGCAAACCTTCTCAAGGCTGCATTCCCTCACCTCACAGAAAATCAAATAAAGATTACAGTGCAGGGCATGAATGACCTCAATCAAGATATTCCAGGTTTTAAGGAGCATCTCAGAGACTTCCTTGTACAAATTCGAGTAAGTTGTCATTTCTTGTTTTCAAATATAAATGAGCCATCAACAGAAAACCAAGAAGTTGTTGCATATGGTTTGCATCACAGGGGAGAGAGAGCTGTCACAGTTATGCAGTACAGATATTCTTTTTTCATCTATTTTTCTGAAAAGCTGGAAAGGAATTTTAATTTAATTTTTTTTTATAGTTTTGTAATTTATTTTGAGATTGTTTATTTGCATAATGCATTTTCATATAAGAATGTAGGTAAGTAGATATATGAAGAGCTTATATATATATATATATATATATATATATATATATATATATATATATATATATATATATATATATATATATATATATATATATATATATATATATATATATATATATATATATATATATAATTATTATTATTATTAATTAATTATTTTTTATTTTTTTATTAATATATACCAGTACTTTAACAACAGTTTACAAAATCTAGTAGATGATAAGATAGTTACAGGTTTATTATCAAAGCAGTAGATTTCAGAACTTGGTATTCTAATCATATTTAAATACAGGACTTTAGTTTTAGAGAAATTTGTTTGGTGGGCATCATTCACTCTGATGGTAGTCAAGAGTTGATATCCTTTTAATTAATTTGTTTCAAACTTGGCAGCAATATCCCATGTTCAGGGGTTTTGCTTATCTTTAAGTTTGCTATTTGTAGTGCTTATTGATATTGTGAATTATTGTTATTTTGTGTGGGTCTGGATGTGTACACACATGTGGATTGACACGTACTGTACAAAAGTTTAAAATAAAACTTCTGAATTATCAGAGTTCAGTATTTTCTGATGAATGATTTATATTTTATGTTCTGTTAATTGCTGAAAAATCTAGATCTATGTATGTAGATTTTTTTATGCTGATTTGATATATAGTTTTTTTAATGTGATCTATCAACATGTATATTTTCTGCCTGTGGTATACCGTTGTTAGTACAGTATAAGAAACACGTCTATTTTTATTTATTTTGTTTATTTATTTATATATATATTTTTTTAATAAAAAACTAATTACAGGAGGTGACGGGAGATGATGACAGTGACCTTTATCTAGAGGAGAGAGAGGCAGCGCTAAGGTTGGCACAGGAAGAGAAACGTCGTGTCCAGATGAGTGTACCGGGTATTCTAAATCCACATGAAATTCCAGAGGAGATGCAAGATTAGGTATAAGCCACCTCACAGCTTGGAGATCCCATAATAGTTTTGCTGATGACAGCACTCATGTCCATATGATTTTGGTCCAATATTGTTTTGCAACTCACAGGATGTTTAGACGGGTATTGAAAAACCCAAAAGTGTGATTATTGGTTCTGAATTGCTGCAGTAGTGAAACAGTTCAAAATTCATTTGAGAAAATGAAGCATTGCCTGTAGTAATTTATGAAGTCAAGCATCTTTGTGGGTTCAAAGCTAAACTATGTTATGCCTGATAAAAATCGGACACAGCATGTTGGCACAGTTGCCATTTCATAATTCATAAAAAAAATTATAATGTAAAGCTTAAAAAAGAATTAATTTTTATGGAGCTGTTGCCCTGCAAGATGGTAGACTTGGTTGCTAACTCAGTCATTATTAAACTGTTACAGTTTTCTAAATGTATTTGATTCTGTAATTTGATTTTCGTTATTATTATTATTGGCTCAGAATTTAGAAGTGTTAGGGTATTTACTATATGTGATCAGTCATAGCATACTAAGTCTTCACCAGTCTGTCAAAAAGCATCTAGTTTTGAGAATTAGATGTTTTGATAGAAAATTTTTACTGTCTTGCTACCATATCCAGAGTAGACATTGTTAAACATCCTTGTTTTTGTTTTTTCTTGATCTTTTTCACCAGTATTTGTGTAGATGATGAGGGACTCACAGTTATTCTCGTTAGGATAAGTTAGAAAAGTTTTTTTCTGCAGCTATTGTACTTCAGTTATTCATTGTGAGGTAGACCATATATGTTATCCAGTGGTATTGCCTAGAGCTAACTGCTGCCAAGTTACTCTGCAGTTAAGTTAATGTATTCTATTGCATTTACCAGTGTACAAAATATGATAGTGGAAATATATACTAATTTTTTTTAATTGGTAATGGCCATCATATCACAGGTGAATTCACTGCAGTGCATTTACATCAGACCACTCTTTTTTATTATAATTATTATAATTACAGTCTTGGTATATGAATTGTGAAAAATTTACTCTTACGATAGTCATTTTACTTGGATATTAAGAGCGGAGGTTATATTTGATGAATATTATGTTATGGGGTGCACCTTGACCTGTTTTAACCCCCATAAATGTACAAGTCTTATTGTGGCAGCAAAGAAATTTCTTAGTACAATTTAGTTGCGATATTTATTAATATGAGGATGTTTAATATGGAGCACTTTGCATTGGTAGCTTGGATTGGTATTGTTCTGGGTACAGAAGGAAATAGTGAAACCTGGATAGCCCAAAGGGTTTAAAGTCGGTCCTCATTTTTGTAGGGGATGAGCTAGTGTTGAGGAAATTTTGTCATTTTCTCAGTTTTCCAGTTTCTTTTTCTTTTAAAATGTTTTCAGTTGTTGAAAATTTATATGCATGATTAGGAGGTGAAGTTGTAGAAATCTGTTAGTGTGCAAGAGCTGTGAAACCATTTGTACCTATTGAAGCTAGATGGCCCAGGTAGGGACTTTGGTATTTGTGTTACAAATAACTTAAGGTTTCTGATGTATTGTATGAATCAGTGTTTTGAATAAGGGAGCAGCACTTTATTTTCTTCAGCTGCACCTTCTGTTTGACCAAAGTATATGTTTTATGAATGCAAGGAGTGCTTATAATTCAATGGATTTTTGTTTTCTGGTAGTGTTATGTGAGTGAACTGTCAAAGGTTTGGATAAGCCCAAGAGATGTGGTAAGTAACACAGGTATGGACATCATTTATTGTTTTGGAATTGTTGCTAAAAATTGTATTTTTTTCTTTGTTAATACTCTCTTATGTACTTACTTTACTTCTTAGCAGGGGGGAACATTTCAAACTGCATGAATATTAACTATAGATCATAGTAGATTTTGGAAGTGATTATGTTGGTCTCACATGTCATAATTTCACTGTTGATAGTAATTTATATCAATATATTAATGTTTCACATTTTTCAACATTGACTTTGGGGAAAATCTTATAACTGTCCCAGTGTGAGTGGGTACCCCCTAATAATGAATATCATCAAACTACTCCATTGGTAAAAGATTATTGATACCCTGGATCGTGATTTTTTCTTCATATAATTTGCAATTAATTTTTATTTCATGATTAGTGATGCCTATCATGAGAAATGAATTTGTTTTGATTAATTTGTAGTTAATGCATAAAGGATATTGATGCATGTCATAAAGATAGATATTTATTTTGAGCACTTCCTAGCTTGAATTGCCATTTGAAGTCCAAATGGCGAGAATAATAACTGTATTTGTTACCTTAGTAAGAATGTTTTGCATATTTAGGTTGTGGCCAATAGATATATAGTGTTAAAACTCAAGAGCTGGGATTGCATTATTAATCAAGGCAATATTAAGAAAATTGACTCAAAGGATGCAGTTAATTTACATTGGTTCTTGAGTTCTTGCCAACTTTAGTGGCCCTGACTTGTTTGATAAAGTGAATTTTTAGCTTTCATAAAAAAAAGATTGGTAAGAAATTTATTTGATAATGAAGGGAGAATACTGTATACATATGTAAGAAATATAATAACGAAGGGATTATATACACATGGAAGAAATTTATATAATGAAGAGAGAATATACATATGCTTCAAGCTTTGCTCCTTGGATATTGGTTGTTTGTACCTAGGAGCCACTACTGTTGAGGAAACATCTTTCCTCTGTCATTGGACTGTTGCATTTGTACATTGCTTTGTACCCAAATTAATGTTTCAAAGTGACAAGGTAAAATTTTTTGGAAACTTGATTATACTGCATTGGATTCCTTGGCCTTTGTGAGTGAAAATTTATAATTTATTTATTTTATTATTATTATTACACTATTATTATTATTTTAATACGGATGTCATAAATGCTGGAAAACTTAGGTGCTGTAAGCATTTGTATAGTTTTTGCTTATGACTACTGTGTGGCAATTACAAGAAAAATAAGTGTGTGTGTGTGTGTAGATAATGTCTTGTCAAGAGGCATTAGTTAAATTTTTAAAAGTACTGTAACTTAAATCTTGGGCAGAAAACCTGCTATTGTGTGCCTGTTTGGAGTGGCAGTTTATTTAATTATTTTTTTCTTTTTAATATTGAAATTCAAATGGGTGTTGGGTTTTTTGGATAAATGTTTATCTTTTGAAAAAGTTTTAGTTGTCTCAGTCTTCAAGTATGTGTGTACTACTTTAACTCTTGGATGTGCACTTTGGGAACAATCAAATTTTAAACTGAGGAGGAGTGAGGAGATCTCATGCATTTTGGAATTTAGTTATGTTGTATAATCACAATATTTCACATAACACTATCAATTTTCTATTTCAGTCTTAGCACTTGGTATGAATATCTTCTTGTTCATTATATTTTTGGAACTGCCTCGATTGTGAGGTTGTGTGTAAGTAATTTATTTTGAACAATTCTCTGTATTGAATGTAAGATAGTATTGTACTGCTCATGCAACCTGTTCTCTTTCTTGTTTTCTTGTCAATGCTATTCTTAAGGGGCCATGTTGGCATAGTCAGTCCCTACATGCTTATTGTAAGTGGGAAAGAGAAATTACTTAATTTTCCATCTGTGCATTACGCTTATGTTTTCCTTTGAGTGTCAAAATTTAATTTCAAATAAGGCTACATATATCTTGTATATTTAGTGGTGTAGGAGAGGATTCCGAAGAAACTGGTATCTTATAACTTAGATCATCATGTAATAAAACCAGTGTTGACATCAAGGTTAATTGAGTTTATCTCAGGTGTTATTTGAGTTCAATTTACCTTGATAGTTCACTTGGCATTCTTATATTGTGATGACTAAGTAAGTTTAATATAAGGCCTCCATTCTTGTACTAGAAGATTTTGGGTTTATAATTAGTTGTCCCAGTTTTCAATATTACCAGATGTGCATAAAGCCCTCTTATATGACTTGCTGTAGTTTGTGGATTGGTATAAGACGAGCAACTAAAGGTTTTGCCCTCAAATTGAGAGCATCCTTTTGTAGACAAAATTAGAAAGTCAATAACTGAGCAACTAATTTAATGAGTTGCAAGTGTCTGGTCACCTCCACAGAAATGTCCCTTAGCGGTAATGGATGTAGATTTTGCACGTGAGGGGAGTTAAGGACCTCTCAAAAGTTGTCTGTTGAGATAACTAGGTGATTACACCAACAGCAGTGTAGTATGTGTGGGCAACTGGAGGACAGAAGTAACCTATAAGTGGGCACAAAACACAAGTTAGGATAATTATTGCAAAACTTGACCTATAAAACACCCACAGGTTATAATGTACTTCCAACCCCTTAGTATGTTTGTCGTGTGTATCTTCAGTGCGTTAAGATTAGTCGCACTATCTCTGTTTTAAGAGATGGGAAGTGTAGTGTGACTGATCATTTTGATATTCTGCTATTTGTGCAAAACTTAGCAAAATAAGAAAATATTTTACAAGACACAGGTGTATTATTTACCCCCACCCCCTACTTTATATATACGTACACTCTTTCATTATTTAATACATATTTGTGTTTATTTGTAGCTTATTTTTGCAGACATTAAGAAATTGCATTGATTGATGGATAGTGGCAAGTTTTAATAGGTCACTCTAGTGAGTTAACAAATATTTTTCCTAAAATATCCTATTAACTTAATCGGGCTAAAATGTCCTGGAATACAGCATTCATCCCTTAGTGTGTAGTGTCTGGTCATTTTTAATTTGTATTCCAGTCATATCCCTATATTGGGTTCAAGAGTTCAATTTAAATTCAATCCATAAGATATGGTGCTCAAGACCTGACATCACAATATTTTCCCCACAAGCCTTTTCCTACTATGATACATAGTGGCCAGGTAAGTGCTGATCTATATATGGAAGATAGGAAAGACCCCCCTTGACATGTGATTGAAATTATGTTAGAGGCTCACTAGATGGATCTACCAAGGTTGTTTGTGTGACAGTTGACACCTGCAAAATTAAATCCGGTGTTTACCAGACTTGTATGGCTGGCGGATGTTAGACATGTGTCATATGCAACTGTGTCAATGTAATGAAAAGAGATGTATCAATATATCAACATGTACAGTCCCCCTCCACTAGTGTGTTAACAGGAAGACGTCAGGTTTTGTGCAGTGTGGCATTCAACGGAAGGAAACTCGCAGTAGTAAACGTACAGTATTATAGAATCAAAGTAAAGCAATTAAAACAAATATCTCAATTTAATAATTTGTGCAATGTTGATATGGTGACCCCCTGAAAACACTCTATTGAAGGTGGTTTTGCACGTTTGAAACTTATGCTTGAATAAACGTCAACATGTACCTCTAAATGTATATTATGGGATCCATAAAAAAGGGCGCCATATACAGTACAGTATAACAATTTTTTTCAAATGCATGTTATCACGCAATTACAGTATCACTGTATGCCTCACTTTAGTGACTTAGGAAAATAAATTCTTTTGTACAGAATAATGTGAATGTTTGTACAGTCTCCCCCCAAAAGTTTGTTAACTCTCCCAGCCAGCTATTGCTGCACTGCCTGTTTCAGATGTTTGAAATTGTCTCGGTACCAACCAGAAAAATTAAAACGATACGAATGAATCTAAAGGTTCGAAGTAACAGATTCAAGTTCATACATCTGAAGCAGGCAGTGGAGCAAAAGCTGGCTGGGAGAGTTAATGAACTTCAGGGTGTCTGTACAACATGTACCTAGAAGTAATTAAGTATATGTATGCCAAATGCTAAAGACTCTGGCTACATGTACAGAGGGGATGGGGATCTACAGTACAGAACCACTCGTACTGTATTTAATAAAATTCTTTATTTCACATTGTAACTTTGTAGTACTATATGTAGAATATAATGAAGTTTGCCTATTATTTTCTGCATATGTGTGGCTGTAACATTGCTGGGGAAGGGGGGCAATTCTTAGGGAGGGCTCCCCCCATGGATCTGCTACTGCATAAAATACCGACATAAATTACTAACTTAATTGTGTAATGTATACCTGATCCTCACTTATCAAGCCAAATCTGTTGATCTATATCTGTATGTCTACATAGCCATCCACTAGACAAACTTTATTGAACTATCTATAGACTACAGAATATATTTTTTATCTATATACCAACCCATAAAAGTTTATTGAACTACCCGTGTCTATTCATCTATGTATTTGTCTATCTACTTACCTACCTACCTACTACTTACCTATCTATATATCTATCCACTAACCAAAATTAATATAACTTTACCCATATCTCTCTATACTGTATAGCCATCCACCAACCAATAGTTATTTGTTTATATCTATCTAGAGTATATCTATGTGGTGGGCTGGTTCTTTACCAGAGTGAGGTATGAGCGACCTCTACATCCCATAGTTCATTCTCAACTTTTTCTATTCCTCTATTTAATTTTCTGATGAGAAAAGGTTTGGGGCATCCATTCTCATTAACCTCATCTCTTGCCCTTGAAAAACCATGGAGATACACAATGAACGATTTTTGGGCATTTCTGTTGGATCATCACCAAAAAGGTCCTATCACATTGCCTCCCAAGCTTGCGGGCAGTGTGCCACCAAGAACTAGCAAATACTGTCCGAGCAAAACAATGCCTTGGACATTAAACACAAAGGAATGTGTAAGAATAAACAAGCAAAAAATCGATATTAGAACATGGAATGTTAGGATGCATGAGGTTGGTAAATATGCAAATGTTTGTAGGGAAATGAAAAGATTGCAATAGGACATTCTGGGATTAAGTGAAGTAAGATGAGCAGGTGCAAATAGCATTAGCAGTGAAGATTCTTACTTCATATATTCAGGTACAGTAGTAAAAAACATGAGAGAGGTGTTGGTATTCTTGTAAACCAGAAGTTGAGTACAGTAGTAGTGTAAAGGAATAATGGGCAGTGGTATATAGAGTTTTGTTAGATAAGTTTAATGCTAAACCCATGAACTTGGTAATAATACAGGTTTATGCACCAACATGATGGTGAAGTCTTAGAAAAATTTTAATGCAAAAGCTAGTAAAGGGAAAGTAGCACCAGAAGTAGGACCTCATGGGTTGGGTAATAGAAAGGAGAGAGGATTAGTAATTGACTTTTGTAAGGAAAACAAAATGATACTGTGATTGCAAATACTGTACAATGTACAGTGTATATGTTTTGAACAACATCATAGGCATCTTTATTCTAGCCAACCAGCAACAAAGATTTATTAAACTACTGTACATGATTTTGAGCAAAGCTGCTTTTGTATATACGTACTGTACTGTTGTTACCTGAATTACAGTTTCGTAATTATGATATTTAATGAAATGTACCCAGTAAGTGGCAAAGAGAATTAGTGAGAAAAATAAATCTTAATTGATCAGTACTGTACTGTATTAAATTTTGTCCTTTGCTAGTGCCTATAATGTTTTGTTGGGCTGTGGGCACCTATAGTATATTAATACTGTATGTGTATATACAGTACTGTAATTAAAAGTTTTAGTCTTGGGGTAAGAAATTAGTCTTCTACAGAGATCTATCCTTAGATGGCTAAAGTGGATAACCTGGGTGGTTAACCTTAAATTGTACTCGCACACACACACACACACATGATGACAAGGTGAGTGATTTAAATATATTGGGTTTTGAATAACCTTAGAAGTTTTTCCCACTAAACACAGACCAAGAGACATGCTAACAGCCACCATGATTTAAAAACAAAGCACTTCTTCAAACACTTGAGATGTGTATCCTTTGAACAATTTTATACTCTACTGTAGTAATGATATCTGGTGTTATTGACTAGGAAACTTAGCAAGTTTGAAGAAGTGGTATGATGCCCTCATTAGAACAGGATAGCAGGAGTCAGGGAATAAGACAGACCAGTCATAAAATTCTGTGCATTTTAGTGGGGTCCATTTCTCTGCTTTATGAATTTTCTCTTTCATTACAGTGGTCCCTCGGTTAACGAGTTACCTTCCATAAGATTTTTAACTTCGATTAACGAGTTTCTTACAAGCTGACCTCAACACGTTTTCGCTTGCATTTGGCGGTCCACGAGCTGTAGTATTAGTCCGCCAATACAGTAATCGGTTCTAGGGCTTATATTCCTTACCATTTTAGTAAATATCAAGAAGTTTATACTATTCAATAATTTTAAAAGTTTAATATTAAATTTTTTAGTCATTTTAGCAATTATTGAACATAATTGAAGGTAAGGAAACTACAGTAGTTTTATGTGCTCCATCCAGCCTGTCAACACACCAAACAGGCGTCAGTCTTTGTGTCTTTTCAGTGGAGGTAACATCTTGCTTGAGACGCTCTTCAACTAAATGCTTTTTTTCTGTGTTTGCAAGCAAATTATTGGTCATTTTGAAATTTATTTTACATACGGGTATTGACAATATATAATGCAGTGCAGTGTTGATTTAAAGAAAATAATCTTGATTGACACCAGGAGAACTAAAATTTTATGGATGAAATGGCACCATGGGGTGACTTCTCTTCTACCCCAATGCCTTCTCTTCTCCCTTCTCCTCCACCCCCATTCTAATTCCCATCATCATCATCCAGGAGCCTTCTACATACACACCTCAAAGTAAGTGTACTTTTCTACCTTTTTTGTTGAATTTAGGTAATTTTCAATGAGCTGGAACTAATTACCCCAAAACCCATTGAAACAATGGTTTCGGTTAACGATTTTTTCGGTTAACGAGCAACCTTCTAGAACGGATTGCGCTCATTAACTGAGGGACCACTGTATATCTGGGCTTCAGTCAGATGGTTTAAAGTATGTCTGTCTCATGGAGTACTCATACAGTACTTGTGCTGCAGATCTTGTTTATTTTGGTGTTATGATGACCTTCATGTGAACTATTCTTCTGATGATTTAAGTTTGTGTAGAACTATTTCACTGCCCCAACCCCTTCTCCATACTGTATTTGCATGGCATAGCATTTGTTGTTTAGCACTTTCAGTGATCTCTAGGCATTCATTAATACTTCACTTATGTTGCAACAACTACTGTACAATTGTTATCTGTGAAGATACAGTACAGGTACTACAGGGTTAACATGTATACAGTACTGGGGATTATTTAGCAGTCATTTTTTAAGTGTATGAGACCGCATACTATTTGCCATTAATAAAGGAAGGTCTAATATTGATTTACAGCTTACTGTTTTCTAAAATTTTCAAGTGTTTTCAACCATAATACTTTTGTAATGAAATTTATTCTTAAAAAATAAAACTCTTTCCTTCTATAATTTTTTATTGGTTCAATCTGAACTGTTAGTGAACACAAGGTGTATATTGGTTTCTAATATTTATAGTGTAGATTTGTGAACACTTTAAATACATGTACTCAGTACCAAATACTGATCTATGGAACAGTGATATGTACATAACACCATGCTTTACTTATACAGTAGTCCAAACCATAAAATATGTTTGTATATATACATAATTCTTACATAAGTTGAGGAATTATACATCATAAACATTTAATAAACTTAGTAATAGAGATAAAGAGACGGCAGAGTTACCTGAATATATATTTCAAACTTAATCTAAGCGTAAATTTAAATGGACTTCAATGCAAAAACAAAAACTAAATTAATAAAAAAAAAATAAAGAAAAAAATCATTGTAGTCTCAAAGTTCTCATGGACTTATGCAGGATAATGTACTGTACAGTTCTTAAACAAAATACTGTACTGTACTGTACTGATAATGATTCTATTCAAATAAAAATTGACCAGAATGTATAGGAAATAATACAGGTATTACATTAATAGTACTGTTTTCAGATACTGTATATACATGTGTAAAGAATTCCTTTTTATTATTATTATTATTATTATTTCTATTGAACTACTTTTACATCAGAAAGGAAAGAAGATTTTTGTATGGCATCAGCATAGGGGATCATAGCACAGTCCTTGTTAGGGAGAGGGTCCGGGGCCTATTTGTATACAGTTCTTCTCAACTACTACGTCCGAGGATCATCTTCACCTACTGTTGTTCTGTAAAGTAATAAAAAATTAAATACCGTTACTATCACTGGACAATGAAAGTCATAAAGTAAACATTGACCACCTGAATGGCTAATAAGATGACAAGAGGTTGAAATTATACAAAAAACTAGTTTGTCGGATATACGGTACTGCAGATGAACATAAAGATAAATAGATTTAGGGCTACAGTATTTCTAATATTTGCTAGTGTAGTTAGGGTCAGGTGCTGAGAAATATTTATACGTAATTAAATCCTGTGCTTTTATCATTGAGTGATATGTAACTAGGTTTTCAAGTAATATATTGAGGAACAGTATGTACCGTATCTCAAAGAAGTATCAGTCCACACTCTGTATGAAACATTATGAGACCACAGATGATATTGTGACATGCATTTACTTTGGTTTATAGTTTAACATCGAATAATGCAATGTGTATTTATTTCGGCGTAATTAATATGATGTTCGGTTACCAATGTACAGGTTGACAACCCTTTATCCGAAATTCCGAAAACCAAAACGCTCTGAAAACTGAAGAAAAAAAATTTTGTGGAGCAATTTTTTTTTTTTTTTTAAACAGGGATTAGCCTACCCGGGCATAGATCACTGACCCACATCAGGGACTGGGGGGCGAAAATGTAATACTGTAGTAATAATAATTATAATAATAATAAATATTCATAGTAAATAAAATTTTTAATAAAAATACCAAAATAAGATAATAATGATTACAATAATAATAATAATAATAATAATAATAATAATAATAATAATAAAATATAATAATAAAATTAATAATAATAACAATAATACTGTAATAATAAAATAATAATAATACTGTTCAGTAATAAAGAAATACAAGAATGAAAAAAAGATCAAAAGTGAAAAACATGACCTAGACCTATGAATTACTATTACTATTATAATTTTTATTATATTTTCGCCCCCGATGCCCTGATGTGGGTCAGTGATCTATGCCCGGGTGAGCTAATACACATTAAAAAAAAAAAACTAACCGTTCTGAAAACCGAAAAATTCCGAAATCCGAAATGCCCCTGGTCCCAAGGATTTCGGATAAGGGATTGTCAACCTGTAGTAGGATCAGTATGCCACAGTCATGCATACCAAACCCTCCCGGGACAATCCTGGCAGATACATCTTTGAGATACGAAACATACAACACTTCTTTCTTTAGATTTCTTTGTTTGTGGGTACTGTATTTCTGTGTCAAGAAAATTTAGTTTATTAAAGGTAGTGTAGTGTCAGGAGTTGAAATGAAATACAGTACTGTACACTGTAGGTGGTGGATAATGATCAGTAAAGCTCCTGCAAAAGAGACACATCATGTATCTACAGTTGTACTGTATTTGTTTTGAAATGTGCATTTAATTTTTGTTCCCCAAGCAAAAAAGATTCAGGGCATATATTAGTATCATCTATAAGTCTGTATTACAACAAACCTTCATAAACACTGACAGGTTCTTTGCACACAGTGAACCCTATCAGATATGTCAAATCATTATCATATTTGTTAATTTTTCTTTCAACTTAGTTTTACAACAAATAATATTTTGTGTAATTTTTTTTTTTCATCACCTGTAAAGTGTGCTTGTCAAGAGAAATACCAAAAGTCATGATTTATAATCTTACTATGGATGAGAAAAGACTTTACTTCACATTTACAAACATAAAACTGAAACCTGAAAACTATGAAAAGAGATTACAGTAACCAGTTAGTTTTACAAATACTGTACAGTACAACATTATGTACACAAGTTAGGTTTAATGATTAAACATACAGTACAGTACATGGAAATACCAGTACAGTACTCTTAATACAAGTATTAAAGTTAATCATGTTAAATATACAGAAACATTAGAAATGTTTCAATTAGAATAAATAGAGAAGGCCATAACACAGAGAAAGACACAAGAAGAGATACCAAATAATACTGAAAAAGAGTTGTAGGTTAAGGTGGTTGTGGTCAAGTGCAAAGTTATGAGGCAATTTGTCTTATTCACTTGCAGGTCAAATGGGTCACAGTCCTAACCCTAAGGACTGTGGCTCATTTGAATTTGGCCCCAGTCCTAATAGTTAGGTTAATTTGAGTCTATTGGAACTGGGGCCCATTTGACTAGCACTAATCATCATAATCTTGGTTTATAGGGTGGGGTTAGTGGGGTGGTGTGCAGCAGGCAAACTGTGCGCTGGTGCTGTTAATTATACTGGGAGTGGAGGTGTCATACCCACTGCTGCTTCTTTGCCTGTTACATGATGGATATACTGTAAGTCTTTAAGTTATCATATAGAGGTGGTTTAGATTCAGTTTTCTTGGGGGGGGAGGGGGCCATTTTTTTTTATCAAAGAAAAGGAATGGCACACTATAGCACTACTGTTATCTCTGTAACAGCTCCAATTTCAACACATAAAGAAGAATAGAAGATGAATACCTGACCGCCTTGATTAAACAAACTACCGTACAGGCATCAGAATTTGATGTTACAGTATAATACTGTACATCCATTTAGAGTAACACCATTTCCTCCACAATTTAAAACAACCCTACAAGTGCTCTCCTTATTTAAAAAAGTTATTCTTATGTTGGGTAGTACAGTATAGTTTTTCAAGCACAGGACAATTGTGAATGATCATTAAAGTAAAAAATACAAAGAAAATATTCCTTGAATGATGCTTTAAGAAATATTAATTACAAAGGAGAGAAGTAAAATAGATGGGATATAATATATACTTAGATAAATAATTGATGTAAATCCATTATTAGTAAACTATCAGTGTATTTGTCCTGGATGGAAGTGATGCAGCTGCCAGGGATCATTTCTTTACATTCAGTTAAATGTAAATGCAAATGGTTCAGTGACTTACACTACCAGTAGTTTAATATGAAAAATGTTTCATCTATTTTGACTTCTCCATATTTAGTACTGTACAGGTAATATGAGCTGACTATCCATTATCAGATACCCTGTAACTAGTATCTCATCTAGCAGGTAAAAAAAAAAAAAATTAATTGGTGGCTTTATCCAAAACTAGGGAATAATTTTATGGGTGATTTCAAGTGAGGTGGGTGAAAAGCCAAGAGAATTAGTGTCACTGTCAATTTCACATATTTGTCACACAAGTGTCCCTAAATTATCGTTCCTATTTTGAAAGGAAATTAAAGAATCATTGCCAGACATACTACAAGCATACAGTTTGTAATATCTTGTAGCTCTACTCAAGTGGTTTTTCTTGGCATGCCAGTAAACCTCCACATATGCACAATTAGTGGCTCTCTGTTTAAGTAAATTTTTCCAGACTGCAACAAATTTAAAGAATAGAAATTTTTTTCCATTATTATATTTTATAAATTGATACAAAAATGCCTGTATAGAAATTTTTTTAAATAATAATGTGCATATGTACTTGTGGTTAAAACAACTAAATTGATATGCATCTTTTTCTGCAAGAGGGTTTTTAGAAAGTTCTTTGACCATTAAATCAATAAAATGCTGAGGAGAATTTGGTTGATTCAAGGGAATACTATGTGTACTATGTAAAGTTTTACTGAAGTTTGCATTACTGTATTTATTAATACGTATACTCTTTTAACAGAGAATAATTTTCGAGTAAGAATGGTTAATATGAGTGTCAGAAAGCCATTTCCCAGTATAAAGTACAGGTACTGTATTTTTCAAAGCAAATGTACAAATGACTACAGTACAGTATAATTAATGTGGCTGTATTGCAGCAGCAGAGCTTCCTCCACTCCCTCAACGAGGTGAGCACTCACACATCACCAAATGATATAGACTTCTGCAGGGGCCTGATGGAAGGTGGGCCTGAGGGCTTCAGGATGCCTGTAGGAGGGGACTCAGGTGCCTCGTTCTCCTTGCCGCAATCACCTTAAGGGGAGCCAGTACTTGGATCAGGGGTTATGTATGGTGCTGCAGCTTACACCATAGTTGTACTGCTTTTGGATTTTAAACCATGGCAGAGTAGAATATATGTTTAAATTGTTAAGATAACTGGAAGGTCTTTTTACACTTGAGATAACTATAAAAGCTTAAACATATTTTTGTGCAAGAGGCACAACTTTATGTCCCAAAAGAGATGTTTCTCCTGGAATGACTGAAAATTCATGTTTGCTTCAATCACATGGTGGAAAATTATGCCATGTTTCAATATACTGTACTGAGGAATAGGGAAGTGTGTAAGATATAAATGTAAATAAAAAAAAAAAGACAACACATAACATGACTACATAAAATGTAAACACAGACAGATATACAAGAAGAAATCTCAGAATTGCTTCAAATAGCATTTTATTTTTGTGTGTAATTTTACCTCTTCCCTGTGTTAACTGCAGGGAGCATGCAAAGTCTTGGTCAAATATGTGTATAACTTGTTTTCCATTAAGTGTTGCTGGTCCAACCATAAATTTAAAAGCATACACAGTACAGAAAAGGTCTACATAACAGTACAGTATTTTGATTATCATATAAAAAATACATTGTGTCATTCATTTCCAAAAAACAAGTAAAGTATAGAAAAAAATAATTGACGACTGATAAGATAATAGAGAAAATCTAGGGTAGAGTGAACTGCCAAATCATCCCATGGTACAGTATTGCAGTTAATGGGATGAAAAATAAAAATAACAATGGCACTACTCTCATCCAATTTGTAGAGTGGGAAGTAATAGCATCTCACTGTGTGTGTGTATCTATGCCTGTAGATTTTTTATCTTGCATGTACAGTACTGTATATACCGGTAGTAGAATTACTACTGGATATCAAAAGTTTTGTAAATTTTAAATGTACTGTATGGCCAATATTCTCTCTTAAGATGTGTGCCTCTGTAGCCTTGCAAAACTAACTCTAGTGCCGTGCATTTAATTTTTCCTGCCATGTACAAATATTGTACAGAATATAGCATTTTTGTTACTACTGATGGCACACACTGTATCAAAAATCATTCTGCAATGAAGAAACTAAGAGGGAACCTTGGCTGTGGCACTCAAATTTGATAAAGTGGTTGTTCAACTTCATTTAAAATTTTTTATATTGTTTTGGCTGATCTTGCTTATATGTATTACTTTTATTAGTACAGTATACAATACTGTACTGTATTATTTAATAATAAGACTGTAACACACTTAGAATATCCAATCATATATAGTACATGAAAATTGAATTGTCTAATGATGTGTTCATGTTATACTGTAATACATTACTGCACTTCAACAGCTGGTGTCTTTAAGTGTGTAGTATACTGTATGTACTGGTTTAGTATTTACACTTGTTAATTTATAGTAATTACAAATTATGAGAGATGCAACTTTCCTTTTTTATTCTGATCAGTCATTGACAAAGGGAAACTAAGAACTGAAAATATACACTTCTGTATAAGATGTAAGATGTGGAGGAGTAGGGATGATTTTTCACTTTATTGATTTTTAATTAAAGTAATCTTAATAAATGTCAATAATAAGTTGGGTAGTGCTGTGAATCTTAAGAATCTTTAGAGTTTAATTTGAAAGCTGTTCACATAATCACACGAGTGCTATACGTACAGTACTTTTTTTTTTTTAAAAGCAGTACTGTACCAAGGAAATTTTAGTAAGCTTGCTTATTAATTAATCCTCGATTATTTATTGATCCTTAATTTATAACTAACCTTTCATAATGATGGTGACAGGAGCATCCTGTCTTATACCACGATACTTGGTGGATAAAGATGCTTTAGGGCTGGGGGCATTATTTTGGATTGTTGTAGTAGTGAAAGTAGCTGTAGAAATATCAGTAGAAGTTGACTCAGTTTTTAAAGCACTGATTGAGTTAGTGTCAGAAAAAGATGATGGAGGGTCTATGGGTAGCTGCTGAGGTGCATGACGTTGACGTAAATTTGAGCGGGATAGAGTGGACTCAAGTTCTTTTTGTAGGCATGCTCTTGTTAATGGTCCATCAACCACATTCACTCCATTGATTTCATTATCTTTACTACCTATTGTTGGGAGGAACTCCAATTTGACAGGTGTTGGCCTTTGGTTTGGTGATGGGTAAGCACCAATAGAAACGAGTGGCTTTCCTGGGCTTTTTCGTTGAGGTTCAAAATAAGCACTAGGAGGTCGCTTTGAATTTGATGCCTTTTCTTCAGGTTTAAACTCTTCCATCACTGCCACACTCACAGGACGCAGTGGAGATTTTGTTGTAGATAATGCGGATGATTCTGATGGTGAGTGGTTGTTGCTGCTGCCTCCCGACCGCTCATTCCATTGCTGTAAAACATTAGTGTCATTAGCTGATCTCACGACATAAATATCTTCCATGTTTTTGTATTAATATTTTAGAGATAAGAATACTGTATATACTGTATGTGTATGATATTTTTCTAAATTTATAGATCTTTCTTTAATTTATTTGTGGCTATCCCATGTAATATTTGTGACATCAGATCAATAAAGAAATATTTATCAGTGGCTTCAGAACGATTAAACAGATACTATATCTCTTATTCAGACTATGCAGATCAATTTATGAAGGACCATAGTTATTCAAATACTGTACTGTACAGTATTATATTTTTCACATCAGGAGAGAAATACGTACTGTACAGCCCAGTATAGTACAGTATTTAATTTACAACAATTAGTGCCAAGGATGCTCCAAATGTACTGGATACAGTAGTACAGTATACTGTAGATCACTGTTGCTACCGGTAAGTCAGATCACAAAGACATTCTAATGGCACTGAAGTGCATTATTATCAGGCTCTTATTAAATTTTACTAGCAGATGCATTCATTGTCTTTCATTACACAATACTGGTGTTCAGTCAGTGAGGTATATAGTGCAACATGCTCAGTCAGTGTGCACCCTGTACACTGTTGTCTATTACAGTATATTGTTGGAGGGGCTTGTGAAAATAGGTTTATTAATATGAAATTTTCATAAAATGTATATTTGTCAACTGATATCTACAGTAATACAGTATGATTTCCACAGATTGAAAGCAGAATGCCCTTGCAGACTCTTCACAAAAGTTTTACTTGCTGTCTGTGTTTTAAGTTTGAGTGTTAAGACACATCAGCAATCTTACAACATTAATTGAAAATATTGTATTTTAATTTTGATTTGTATATTATGTCGGTGAAGAAGGCACTTTTACCTGCATGAACAAGGATATACTTAAATACTGTGTAAAAGTGTTCAAATGTTCATAAAGTTACAAAAGTGGTTAATATTTTTTGTAAAGAATAAAAAATGTATGATTATAAAATTAATGTAAAAAGGTTAAATCAGTAAATACTGCACAGTACTATCAAATACTGAAAAAATTAATGAATACTGAAAAGAATTCTTTATTAATATATTAGCATTAAATGCTGTATTAATAAGCCAGTGTTATAATGTCCAACGGTAGTCCTCACGTCCAAGTTGGTGGGTTACTGGAGGGATTGTTGGTCTGTCTAGCAGGTTGAGGTGTCTTCAGTGCACAAAACTGGTGGTCATGCACAACCAAACATTAGTATTTTTTGTTTATAAAAAAATTTAAGATTAAAATACCCATGCACAGTAAAAATCCTCCATCATATCTACTGTATCATGTGACAAAATGAAAGGTATTAGATGTAAACTTGTTGTGCCCATGACTATATTACAGTGAAAATAATCTACTGTAGGGACAGTGAAATAACTACAAACAGCATTCAAGGAACTAATTACTGGCACTTTAGGTATTTCAAGATTTTTTAAACTCATTATAAACAAAAAAACTCAAAATTACAACTCACAGCAGGGGGAAGCGGGGTGAATGTTGCAGGCATGGGGGGCGGGAGGGGCGGAGCTCCGGATGCTGATGATTGGGGCCTAGAGACATTGTTGGTAGGGCTGAAACTAGGAGTGGCCAAAAAATGTGGCCGAGAGAGATTATGGTACGGGCTTGAAGAAGACTTATTATTAGTATGAGGTGGTATATGTACAGCTTTGCTGCTGCCAGGTACAGATGTGCTGGAGAAATTGTTTTTTCTGCAACTTAGGAAATTTTGGAGAGGAGGAGGGGGAGGTGGTGGTGGAGGGGGATGTGGAGTAGGAAGAGGTACCTGTCTTGCAACTGATGTTGATGAACTGGTTTTGTTGCTAGAAGAGTTGTTGTTAACAATTTCCTTGTTGTTGCTACTGCTGCTGCTGCTCTCCTCTTTCCTGATAAATTTTGATTTGGAATTGATGCCATTTGGTGGGCTTAGATCATTGGTCAGGATGGAAGTTGTCACTTTCTTTTTAGTGTGTGCTACATCAAGATTTTTGTTAATAGGGCTGTTGCTTATAATTCTGGATGAAATTTCTACTTGAGTGGGAAGTGTTCTGGTCACTTTAGGGTGACTCAACATGTTTGACTCGTTTTTTTCTTCTTTATTATCTTCACTGGCACTGTCGTTTGTTGTGAACATTTTCTTGTGAGCAAGTTTGAATTCTTCCATTAACTGTAAGATAATAAATTACAGTAATAACATTACAGTATTGTGAAATCATGCAAACCACTGAAATGCTAGTAAATAAAATGTGCCGCTTAACATGGAGTTAACATATATACTGTATGGTACAGTAAAACCCTATTATAACAAATAAAACATTCATTGGATTCCACATCCTCTTCAGCATCATCTACTATACCCCAAAGAAGAAACAATGTGGAGATTCTGTGTTGTCTTGAAGCAGTGTACAAACTTGTTCATGGATATGGCATGATGTCCTCTCCATTCTATATTTAAACAACAATGAAGTGAAGATGTACCTATATCTGGGCCACTTTTATGTGAAATAGTCAAACAATTTGATTGAAAACTGAAAATTAGTGAGTCTTGTAGTATTAGAGTTGGATGGCTGCATAAACTTAAGTTGCATTATATAATTTTCTAACTCAAAATGCATGGTTATAAATTTGCTGCTAAGGTTACACTATGTTCAGAGCACAAACTGTAGCCTACTGTATATTTCTAAAATCTTGAAAATCCAAAATCCTTTGCTTCATTCTGAGTATTGCAGATTTTTTCAGTCTACTGCACCATTAATGGTATTCCTGATGCTGAGTGATTTATCATCTATTTATACTGGGTCACCAACTGGCACTAATGTTACAGCACTGTTATTGCTTTATGAAACTTTCTGCTTCAAAGGCAATCAGGGTGAAGCACTGCAATCACAGTAAAGCATCTAATGACTATTTCTCTGTAGTGTATGAACTACAAGATCATTAACTTTGCTTTATTTTTAGCAATAAGATGACCCATTTTACCTCATATCTATGAGATTGCCCAACTTTCTTACCCTAGGACTCATCCTCAATCTTCACTCATAACTATGAGATTACATTCTCTCATGCTAAGACCACCCATCTCTCATAAACTTAACAATATCATTCACCACCTTCTCACTTAATCATGATATCTTCCACCTTCACGAAGAAAACTAATTCTCTGTCTTAACCATTCCAGCCAGTTCATGCCCAGTACTTGCCAACAGTGTGTAACAGAGGCGTGACCGTCTGCCCAGTGGTGAAGAGGATAAAGGTAAAAGCTTTCCTTTGATGATCCTCTGTAATGTAATTTAATTTAAGTTGACCTTTACAATTTGGCATCAGGCAACTCATTTACTTGATGATTTATCATCAGGTGACCTCAGCTCCCCTATTTATCATATGATAGGTCCATATCTTATCTTTAATGTTCTCCATCCCCCTCACCTTATCATGTTGAGCTCGCTTAGAATCAGCTGGTCCTGCCTTCGGTTTGTCTTTCTTGAAAGCATCAATTTTGTCCTCAATCACTTGAGCTTTTGTTTTGTCATCACCATTTAGTCCAAGATGAACTTCCTGTAGTGATGAACAAAGAAAAAACTGTATACAAGTACAGTATAACAAAAGGTGATCTTCCATTATCATTGTATCACAGTTTAGGAAATCAGAAATACTTCAGTGGTGTTCTCACTCAACAACTACGGTATACTGTACTGAACTTGAAGAAGGCAGAAAATTTAACTCACGTTTGCCTGTCTCTTTTAAAGTTTTCAGAGTGCTAACTTTTTAACAAATGAATATTATTGTAGATGATAAATTATACAGTACAGTACACTGTAATTTAAATACAGCAAGTTGACAATTTATGTTGGGGAAGTTTTCCTAGAATATGCATCTTAAATAGGGCCAATGCATATAGGACACTTTTTCCCATAGACTGTTATAATTGGGGAGTGTGTACCTGGACCCAATTTTTGGATGCAGGAATTACTGTACAATACTAGGGAAAGAGCTTTCTCACAACTGTTTCTTTTTCTCTGATCACATTTAATTTTGTAATAATAATTATACTGTAATTAATAGGTAGAGTAAATGTATCTAGCCAGGAAATTAAGCTCCATCGTTTACTTTTAGTTACCTCTTAGAACATGAAGGGAATACTAAGGATCTCTGGAATATGACTCAAAGCAAACATTATAATTTCTGAGCATGTAAAGACATACTGTATAGGTATTGTTATTACAGTGTGTGTGTGTGTGTTTGTGAGAATAAACAGAGCATTTAAATATTCACAGTTAATTTAATAAATAAAGTAATAAACACTGGTGTACCTGTACAATATATATGAGTAAAACAATACTTTGTGCAGGTACAGTACAGTAATAAATTACTGTCAGTTGTATATCCAAAGTAAGTCATGAACAGCTGAAACAAAAGGTCGACCATATAGGTACAATATTTGCTATTTATGGAAAATATACTGTAAAAAGAGTTCAAATAGCTGAGTTGTTCATTCAGGGATTCTCTGTTGAGTAATATACTGTATAGAAAACTATCATGTAATAAGAATACAGATATGGTTTTGTGAAGGAGATTCAGGTGCAGTCTGCTGAATATAATACGTTAAGGTATGGTTTGGTATGAATGAAGAATAAGGTACTATTTCAGTAAAGAGTGGGATGAATAGAGACAACTAATGAAGAACATCTGAACACTGCTGTACTGTACACTACTTTCATGCTGGAGCAGTAAGTGTATAAACCAATATCAAGCAGCAGAAATGAGTGTAAGATAATGTAACATACACTGGCAGAGGAATTAAAGAGTGAAGTGTATCATACAGCTGGAGAATTGTAGAATAAAAAGTGGAAAAATTAATCATGCTCGAAGAAAATGTACAAAATAATTACAGAATTAATTGTGCTGATGAACCCACAAATCACTGTTTTATGTAATTTGGGTTTAACAAAGTTTCATGCAGTTTGGAGGGAAAGAATTGTATTGAATCGAGTATCAAATTGTCCTTGGTTATGTAAGGTGTGGCATGGACATAAAGTAACTCACCTGTGCGGAGCGGCGTTCCAGTTCTCTATTAAGGGCAGCAGCTAAGCTAGGTTTAGGGATGGAAGAGGTAGGCTGTGGAGGAGGAGGTGGAGGTGGAGGAGGGGCACCCACTACTATTGGTGGCCCACTGATGCTATTTGAATGTGTGCTAGGAGGTGCAGGTGGTTTTGGGGGCGTGGGAGGTGGCATTGTGGATCGGAATGTTGGATGGATATTGACTGGCAGAACACGGTTTGCAATGGGTAGTTCTTCCCACACTGCACTTTCACCACTGCTAGCCGATAATGAACCAATACTCTTGCAGCGTCGTGGTGGAGCACCAGATCCACAAGATGATCCAACGCCGCTGCTGCTGCTGCTGCTGTGTGCTGGGGATGCTGGAGGGGATACCTGATTGGGCTGGAAGCTGCTATGTTGGGAAGTTAAGGTAGTGGTGTTTTTACGTGGCGGTGGTGGTGGTGGCGGGGACTTGATGAGAACCCTGGTAGTGTGCCGGCCACTACCAATGGATGAGGTGGGGCTGGGGGGCGGCTGAAGGTGAGGGAGTAGGGACTGCCCCGAGCAGGTGATCACCAGGGGAGCCAATGGGGCACTCTGGGTTCTCTCTAGCCCACGACGCTTCTCCTCCTGAAGGGGGGTGGTGAGCCAGCAGGGCCAAAGTGAATTGGGGTGCAGACAGTAACAAATAAGAGCAACTATTTTCAAGGGTCCCTCAAATCAGCAAATTTCAGTAATATTTTCAAAACTTTCATACCAACTCATCACACACACAGTCTAATTCATTAGATCTCAATTATATTAGCTCCAGAAGTATCTTCATACTATAATGCAGACAGAATAATCATCGGTATATTAGCTCGGATAATTTTCAAGAGTTGTGAACACAGATGTATCACCAGTCTTTAAGAACACTTGCCATTAAGTAACTCTTAAACAACACAACTGTAAATGAGATCACAAGAGGAATGTGAGGGTAGCTAAGGTGACAGCACCCTACTGGGTGGTGGCCCCTTTGAAACTAGGCGTGTCATGTATCTTATCTTATCATATTTAATCTGATATGTAGAGAGTTCTGTGAGTTTAAGTGTATGACACATAAAATAACTATTTTTCAAAATTAGTGTGTATTCCTATTAGAGAAGTGAAATTTTTGGTCTCCATCATATTGTAAATCACATCCACATCAGCCAGGACGGTATGCAGTACTGTATTGTTGATTGTGTCCCACATATAAATTGAGTATATTGTATACATGAGCTATGATTATGAAAGATTAATGTAATTCATTAACTCATCGTCAGTGACAAATTTATCACAAACATCCCACTGTAGATAAGAACATTTAATCAAGTGTGGGAGAAGGAGATTATTACATAATTAAGTCAAAGGTTTATTACATAATTAATACATACTCAGCACATTTATTCTAGCATAATGTAACATTTTGCTAGGAAAATACATTTGATTGAATAATGCATACAGTACATTATTTATATGCACTAATTATAAAGACTAATTCCAAATAATGATAAATTTATTATTTAAGGATGCATTTTCACTTTGTTCTTCAATAAGTAATGTACTGTAATATTTTTTTTGTACTTTACTAGATACTGGTACTATATGTCAAACTAAACGATTTTAAATCTGAAATTGTTATTCCTCTCTGGATTGTTGTGTTCTTAAAATTACTGTATGTGAACTTTCAATACAGGTATGTAATTTACAGTACTTTTATAAAATTGATTCATTGATTAAGGGCATAATGTTTGCTTACTGATTCAATACTTCACATGTTTACATCAAAACTCTCATAATATAAGCCTTGCCCTCTCAACACATGCATGAAACCCACCCATACATTAACCCGGTAGTAACATCCTATTACAGTATCTGTATGTTACATCTCTCTATAACTTCATACAATTGTAATTTCAGTCTTATTAGGGATTTCTAATTCTGAGCTTGAAGTGTCAATATAGATAGAACTATTCTAGTATTTGTTAAGTTTTGTTTTCAATGTATGTAATATGCATATGCACGATTCTTATCTGGCTCATTACACACACACACACACACACACACACATATACACCCTGTCTGCTCACATGATGGACCCCTGAAGTTGCAACACTACAATTGTGCAGTGCAGTTACAGTACTGTACTGTCATCATCTCATACTCATAAATATTACAGGTCTGAATTACAAGTAACAGAAAATCTAAGAAAAGTATGAGATAAAGACAGGATATAATATATAATCCTAGGTGATAAATTTGTGCTAAGAAAAATATTGCTACAATACTGCTGAACCCACTTGGCTTGTGCAGTTTCTACATACAGACAGATTCAAGAAGTCGAAGCATTGAGCTATTTTCTATATTTGTTTGACTTACTTTAAAACCTGGTGAATACAAATGCAAGCCATAAGCATCTTTACTGTGAGATAAATTTTAGAAATAGGTCTCCAAGTTGCTGCAACAGCTTAAAAGTAAATGAAATTAGTAGTTGTTTCATCATTTGCCATGAAGAGTGTCGTTTACAATAAGTTTTGCAAAAAAATAATGGCAATAACAAATTTGTAGTCACCACTTGTATTAAGAAAAGGTCTCAACTCACCTCAAATTTCCGTCGCTCATGTGCAAGTCTATTGGCCTCCTCTTTTAACCGCCTTTGTTCTTCTCTTAATTCCCGTAATTGCTGCTCCACCACTGATGGTGTCACCACTGGGGATGCTGCTTTGCCTACTGAAGGTGAGCTTCCACTGCCCGAGGATGACCGCACAGTCACTTGGGACATGCCACTACTCAGTGTAGATGTCTGGTGTGGGATAACATTACTAAAATTGTGTCTTCACCATAGATTATTAAATACCTTGTACTGTACTGTACAATATAAAAAAAATCCAGATGTATCTAAAACAACTGATCCCTTTAAACTAAGAAATGTAAGTACAGCCCCCTTCACTAGTGCAATTACAGGGGTTCATCAGGTTTTATGCAGTGTGGCAACCCTGTTTGTTTACATTCGACAGAAGGAAACTCATAATAGTAAACATACTATGGAATCAAAGTAAAACAATATTAAACAATTATCTCAATGTCATGATTTGTGGAATATTTATATGATTAGCCCCTGTAAATGCACTAGTGAAGGGGACTGTACATAATAATTTGATATACTGTACAATGTATTGATAACTACTGTATCCTAATACCCTTTCATATAATCAGGTTCATGTTCTCCTTTCCATGAAACAGTTTCTATTTAGTTTACCTTTACCTCTTGTTAAGAAGTACAATATTCAATCGATCTTAGAATAATATACCAGTACTGTACTTACCCTACTGGCAGAGGGACTGGAGAGTTGGTCCAGACGAAAGACTGCATCTCTCTCATCCTTGGGGCCACCACTCACCACAATATTGTTAACATGGGGGTCTGCTGAAGTGACCAGGGCAATTTTGTGATTAGTGTCTTCTGTAACATCATTACTAGATCTTGTGCTTCGCAGAATGGGCTTGTAGTGGGCATGTGTAGGTGTTAAAAGAGTGCGGGTAGATGAAATACTGTGAGTGTAAGAAGGTGAACCATCCCGGAAAGCTGTTCGCTGTTCTTCATCATCCTCTTCTCTGAGGGCAGCACTTAGATTGCTGAGAGACCGACTGCCAACAGAGCTGAGCCTGTGGCTGGCATCACGCTGATAGGATGATACAAAAATGTCAGTGCAGCCCCCCCAAAAAAAAATACACAATAAAACTACTGTACTGTACAAACCTTAGGATAGAAGCTTTGATTTTGTACTCAAAATTTATCACAAGAAAAAATAATGCTGTTGGAAAGACAGCATCTTTAATAATTTTCAACTTAAAAGATGTATAACTTATGAACTGCATATTACATTAACCCAAATTCTAACCATGCAAAAGATGTTATCCAATTAAACATGTACAGTACAGTATGTATTCATATTTTTGTCTCTCCAGAAAAGCAACTTTATAGATTGAGTAAATTATTACGATGGTCTAGCTTGGGGAGGAGTTTTATGGGAACTTGTGGTCCTCAGCAGAAAAAAACAACTAAAAGCAGGCAGATAATCACTGCTTATCTCAAGGAGCTGGAAACCCTACAGTTCCCACTGTAAAAGTGGGTGGGCAATTGTTTGGGCACCCAGTCATAAAAATTGCTTAAAATTTGCCAGATGGCTACTGTATAACAGTGATGATGATGATGATGTGTATGGAGATAACTATTAGTTCCATGGCCAAGTTTATGCACTGTTTGATCTCTTGTAGCACTGATCGATAAATAATTATGCACAGACAGTGAAAACAGAAAACAGTTAAGGGCAACAATGAAGTACAGTAAAGAGGTGAGATGTTATGAGACAGATTAGCTACCTGAGCCCTGGTTTTGAGAGTCTTCTGAGAAGACTGCAGCTGTCTCCTTTTCTCTTCGGCCTCAGCTTCAGCCCACTCTGATTCGATCTCCCGCCATCCTCGTGCCCTGTCCAGGTTTAGGTGGCGACTCACAGCACTCAGTCTGGTGGGGTACACCTTGGTTAACAGTAAACATGGGATACATCAGAGTTAGGTAAAATCCAGAAATTAATTTGTTGTCAATGTAACTAAATGAGTTTTTCAGTCAAGCAATGATAAATGGCAAACACTGAAAATGTACATGCTGTATGTATTTTGTTTTATATATTTTGACCATGAGAGACTGACTGCCCCTGGATTAATGAACACACCTTGTTGTGACACTATGATCAGAATCCCTCGGGTCGGAGGAGGAAGATGGTGGTGTCTGGTCTCCTGCAACTGAAGATGCTGAAGAGTTATATCCAGAGGACTCACCAGCCACCAGGTCGAGGCCAGCTCCACGTAAAACATCTAAGGCCAGGCGGGGCGATGACTTGAGCACATACACAGCCTGTAAAGAAGAACAGGAAAGAATGTCTTAAATTGGGTGGTGATGGTCTGACTGTCAAGTAATAATGCGACACAAGTCAGGTTAAATATCATAGGGTCGTAACACATAAGGTAGTTGTGGTGGGACTGTGACAGATTTAGGGTGGGGTTGTGACTAGGATAGTAGTGGTGGGGTTGTGACTGTAGGATAGTAGTGGTGGGGTTGTGACTGTAGGATAGTAGTGGTGTGGTTGTGACTAGGATAGTAGTGGTGTGGTTGTGACTGTAGGATAGTAGTGGTGTGGTTGTGATTGTAGGATAGTAGTGGCGGGGTTGTGACTGTTGGATAGTAGTGGTGGGGTTGTGATTGTAGGATAGTAGTGGCGGGGTGACTGTTGGATAGTAGTGGTGGGGTTGTGACTGTAGGATAGTAGTGGTGTGGTTGTGATTGTAGGATAGTAGTGGTGGGGTTGTGACTGTAGGATAGTAGTGGTGTGGTTGTGATTGTAGGATAGTAGTGGCGGTTGTGACTGTTGGATAGTAGTGGTGGGGTTGTGACTAGGATAGTAGTGGTGTGGTTGTGACTGTAGGATAGTGTGGGGTTGTGACTGTGGGATAGTAGTGGTGTGGTTGTGATTGTAGGATAGTAGTGGCGGGGTTGTGACTGTTGGATAGTAGTGGTGGGGTTGACTAGGGTAGTAGTGGTGGGGTGACTAGGGAGTAGTGGTGGGGTTATGACTAGGGTAGTAGTGGTGGGGCTGTGACTGTAGGATAGTGGTGGGGTTGTGACTGTAGGGATAGTAGTGGTGGGGTTATGACTAGGGTAGTAGTGGTGGGGTTATGACTAGACTGTAGTAGTGGTGGGGTGACTGTAGGACTAGGATAGTAGTGGTGGGTTGTGACTGTAGGATAGTAGTGGTGGGGTTGTGACTAGGCTAGTAGTGGTGGGGTTGTGACTGTAGGATAGTAGTGGTGGGGTTGTGACTGTAGGATAGTAGTGGTGTGGTTGTGACTGTAGGATAGTAGTGGTGGAGTTATGACTGTAGGATAGTAGTGGTGGGGTTGTGACTAGGATAGTAGTGGTGGGGTTGTGACTGTAGGATAGTAGTGGTGGGGTTATGACTGTAGGATAGTAGTGGTGGGGTTGTGACTGTAGGGTAGTAGTGGTGGGGTTGTGACTGTAGGATAGTAGTGGTGGGGTTGTGACTGTAGGATAGTAGTGGTTTGGTTGTAATTAAGATGGTGATGATGCCTGAACAAGTAAACGTACCTCAGCAAACTCGAGGTGTGCAAAACTGATGTCATTACAGGCAAGAATTTGGTCACCAGGCCGGAGTCCAGCATTCTTGGCCACGCCGCCCACCCGCACACTCTGCACGAAGATGCCGGGTTTCTCAGCTGGGCCTTTGCAAATGCTGAGCCAAAAGAACAAGTCATGATGATCCTGGTACCCTCTTCATAATTAATTTCAAGGGTCTAATGTGGTTAGCTCCTTATATTGTACATTAGGGTAGGAATTTGTTACCCTTTCATTACTGGCTTATATAATGGTACCATATATAGACAGTTCCTATGTTGTCCAGCAAATTAGGAACCTGTTACTCCTTTGATAAATTTTTATACCATAATTGGGTAGCTCCCTGTACTGCCCAATCATATAAACCTGTTACACTCTTGGCACAGTGTTCATTGGTTTCCTCCAAAGGGAACCCTTTGCACTAACCTGGTGTATTATAGTCTAGTTGGTGACACTTTTAAATACCTGCTTGTTAACTATCACCTTGTAAGTAAAGGTAGCAAAGGGCAACATAGTACTTGCTTGTTCTAACTATCAAGGGATAGTGACAATTTTCTCACCTAGTAACAATTCTACAAGCCATCAGATAATCAATTATAACACCACCTAATAACAGTTAGGAATTACTACATTCGTGCGATGATAATTATGATGGTGTTCAAAAGGATAAAACTTATTGAAAAAAATATGCTACTTTATTCAGACAAAGATGTTACTCACCTACAGCCAAGGCCAACTTTCCCACTACACGAAAGGAACACTCTCGCGTAACCTTCATTCCCCGCCACTGGCTGTGACGTGCCTGGATGGGAATGATGGAAAGATTCGAACTCACTCTCGTGGGCTGAACAGGACGGCAATGATTGGCTGTAAGAATCTGTACCGTGATCTGACAGGTCCTCATCGTCGTCCACTACCAGCCATGTAAGAGGGTCTCCTCGATGTCTGGAAAAAAACATAGGGTCGGGTATATTCATTTGAACAAGGTGATGCAGTAGATGCACTGAGATAGGGACTGTCATGAATTTCTCATACACAGGCCTTATCTGTCAAGGCACCAACATGAGAGCCATTTACTTTCAGTCTTTTTCTTCTGCTCACCCTCAAATGCAATAAATTCACCATTGAAATAATTTATCTGTAAAAGTGATAATTGTCTTTTTTAAGTTGAACGTTTATAATATACTAAATATAAGAGCATTTTTTGCGTAAATCACAATATTTGTTGATATTCCTCGTCACATTATTGTACAGTATATGGCAACACAACACATCATTTAAGAAAGTTCAATTTTCGGGATACTCTGTTTACATCAAGGAATAAACGACATATTCTGGAGCCAGTTCATGCCCATTGCCCAGCACTATAATGCGTAACAAACGTGACCGACCGCCCAAGTGGCTAATGAGCCGATCAGTGACGAAGAGAATAAAAGTAAAAGTAATAACCAAGGAATTGGATTTTCCTTTGTTTACATTTTACCCACGTGACTTTGTTCCGCCAATCAGTGGAAGTCATGACACTCCCGCGCATGCGCAAGGTGTCTTCTCTGTGTGAAGGTGCTCTTCCTCAGTGATAAACCATTCAAGGAGTTTGTGTAAATAACGCTGCTGCAATTGACATTTTCAAGGCCTATGGTGTTTTGTAAACTTTCGTAAAGTGTCCAAAGTGTGGTGCGGACTGCCATTATTGTGAAAATAACACGTTTGGATTTTCACGAAACGACGAAGAATTGCCACGACAAAGGTAAGGTAAAGTTAGGCTAGGTTAGGTCAGGTTTGTTTAGGGTTTGGTCAGTCTTTTGTATGTTTTTTACCAACACTTCAAAACCCTGCTCACTTTGTGCGTCAAAATTGTTTCATTTGAACTAATGCTAGGGTCTGTCAGTTGGTTGAAAATGTTCAAAGGAGGGCCACCAGACTGGTGCCTGCACTTCGGCACCTCAGCTACCCTGAGAGATTGGAGCGCCTGAACTTGCCTAGCTTATACTACAGACGGGCAAGGGGAGACCTAATTGAGGTGTATAATCATCTCAAGGGGCACTACTCAACTCAGTCGAGTGTCCTTACTTGGAGCTGGCGAACGCTCGCCCCACAAGGGGTCACAGCTCAAGATTGAAGAAGCCGCAAGTCCAGAAAACCGTGAGGGCAAACTTTTTCGGAGTGAGAGTTGTGAATTCGTGGAACAATCTACCAAAAAGTGTTGTGACGGCTCCGAATGTGAGCTCTTTCAAGACAAGATTTGACCAACACTGGAGCAGGTTCAGGTACATTCAGGAGCCGGTGCATGCCCAGTACTTGCCAACAGTGCGTAACAGAGACGTGACCGATCGCCCAAGCGGCTAACGAGCCGATCATTTGGTGAAGTGGAGAAAAGAAAAGGAAAAGTAGAGTCGTGACCGATTGCCCAAGCGGCTAACGAGCCGATCAGTGGTGAAGAGGTTAAAAGTAAAAATATAACCACGTCTACCAGAATCATTGCCAATATAGCATTATCTCTATTATTGTTACTATTAATATCATTTTACTACTACTCTTTCTGCTTCATCTAACAACAGGTGCAGAAGGACTCCACTGCAGCAAAGGAGGTGGCCGACAGGTACTCACTCCTTAAGGGGTATGATACCGGCACTCTTGAGCTTGAGGAGGACTGAGGACTTGCTCTGGACCATGGCCGTGACCTCCCTGTGGACTGCCTGCTCCACACACATGTTGTTCACTCGCAGCACCTGGTCACCCGCCTGCAGAACGAGACAAAACCGATTATAAGATAACTGAGGGCAGGTGAAAGAACTACGTGGGGCAAGTAAATATAAAAGAAGAGGGAGGAAGAAGAAAAGCTGAAGGATGGCAAAGTTTGTGGGGAAAAATTAAGAGAAAAGGGATAAAGATGGTAGCCGGGATAGTCGCGGCACCAGATTACTTTGGGTATAACCCTTTGTGTACAGTAGTTAAATTGGGATTGATAGGTTGTCATATGTAGTCACTAGCTACATATGGCAACCAAACTACTATTAATATATAATTTATGCCGTAAACGTCTTTGGTTTTCGTTGCAGTGGTTTTATTATAATTAAAGCCAGTTCAATTTTTTTTTGGTGGGGGGGGATATGTATGCGGATAAAAATGTTGAAGAAAAACCACACTGGAAAAAATCTAGATTTCCGGGTTTTCACACGAGGAGAAAAACAAAACAGCGCGATTATATAAAAAGGTAAAGTCTGAACATTAATGTTTACTTCCTGTTAAGTTTGCTGCTTCCTAGCGTGGATCGGCTTGTACTATTTTTACTTTACGTGAAGTGTTACGTATGATTTTATCATTTTAGCTGTGTTTAGAATTCGGTAACACCAGAAGGAGTTGTTCGATTTCGTAATTTTTTTCCACAAATGTTCTTTGGATGAAAGTAAAACAATGCGACAACTTTACGCCATCCTTGCCATACACTAATTAGTCACTGACGTAGTTTACGTCACGTTAAGCTAGGGTTCCGTGGGGTTTGCTAAAGGCTACTTTGGGTCGGAATATCTCATTTTATATGCCTTGGCAACTCGTGGCTCTTAACAGATGGGTGTGTGCCACATCTCCCAGTGAAAACTTTCTGGACACTATTTGACACGCAACTTTGTGCCTCCAGTGTACATAGTGTATATATAGAACTAATTTTATAGTTATACTGATAAGTAAACAACATAAGGAAGTGCAAGTGGTAGGAGACATTGCGTGCGTGTCATCGCCGCTGCCGGGACCTTTAAACCAGGTAAACCAGGTCAGGTTTTATTAGATTCTGTGCATTGTCGTATCGTTTTTATTACTTACTATCACCCGAAGAACATGTGTGAAAAAAAAAAAACGAAATCGAACAACAACTGGTATTAGCCGTCTGCTCCAGTATTACCTAGAATTCTTTGTTTAATTCTAATAATTAAGAAAATGTATGTAATGAATAGACATTATTTACACAGGAATTTAATATTTGTTGCTGCGTAATCACAACTGTCACGAAATTCGGTCCTTATACAACCCTTTTCTCCCCATCCCCCCAAAAGAATTGTGATGGTGGGTGGAAATCACTACCTCCACGAAGGACGGTGGACTGGACATAACTAGACCTTCAAAGTTTCAAACCACGCGCAGAAACCTTTGATTAAATGCCTTCTGCACTAATTATTTATTATACGCAACATTTTTTTTTACTAAAGTATGACCCTGATAATATGCTGTTGAATAATTTGATGAGTTTACTGATAAGATTACCTGATACCACTGGCATGTCTTTTTATCTTTTCGAAGACCATGCACTTAGTACTGACATCGTTACATTCTCATGTCAAGTAATCAACAACTTCAACAACCAGTATATGATATGAAGTAATCATAGTCGCTATCACTCTACAAGTGTCTGAATATGTAATGACAATAAAATCTAATTGACTTCACCGTCTGTCACATATAAAAAGTCCCTCCCTACTCCGGCCCCATAATGGGATATTGGCTCATCACTGTGTATGGTAATGCTTCATCGAAAGGGTTGAGTAGGAGTAATATCTGCTCCGGTAGGTTTAACAAATTGCAGCCCACCATAATCTTCCGCGAGAGAGAAAAAGAAAATAGCTGTATCAAGGATGTTTTGGTCCCCAACGAGGATAATTTGGGTACTTTATTCTACTTTTAATTTGTTTAACTAAACCAACAGGCTAAAAATGCCCTTGTTGAAACGTCTGGGCGTTGAGAAGTATTTTTTTGTTCCCACTATAATGGGGATGATACTGTGCAGAGCCGGTGGTGATGGGTGGATACACACAGTAAACCATCACTAATAATACTTTTTGTTCTGTTCCTTCACAGTTAAAGCCTACCTCGATTAACCCTTTCGCTTCGTTTCGCGCACTTGCCATTTTATGCTGGCTACCGCCAGACGATTTTGTTCAGCTTTGGGTAACCTCCTGCAGCCAAAGGGTTAAAACCTATCTCGTTTAAAGAACATTTCCCCATCCATTCCTTCTCATAGCCTCCACTATTTCCCACATCGGGAAATGATCTGTTTGTTTAAATTAATTTGATTTGGTCATTAATCTAGTGCGTAAAATGTTGATATTCTTGCATCATGGAAGTGGTCGAGTCGCTAGTGCGATTGGCACAGCATACAAACCAATGTGTCGAGTAAACAATGGTGTCCAGTTTATAATTATTATGCATGTACCTTCACGTCATCGTTATGACCTGAATGATTAATCGTATTTATACACTAATAACTTTGTAACTTACATTCACTAGTCTGAGTGAATGTTATTTTTTTATTTGTACGTTGAGTCAAGTATCAGATCCCCAGCCAAGGTACAGATTATTAAAGATTCGCACGAAGATTATTCCTAGTAACTGATGATGTAATGACGCAAGAGAATACACCTTGACAGGATTACACTAAGATATTACCACATCTTGATACAGTTTGTTCAATTAAAACTCGATTTTTTTAGAATCTTATGGAAATATTCTTTGCTTTAATTTCATATCGAAACTGGCTTAAATGAACGAATGTTAAGTTAATTCCAGTGTGATTTTGACGCTTGTCATTTTTATGTTTTAGTTGAAGTCAACCAGTTTGTCATTTGGCGGGCATATCTTCATTTACGAGGAATATTTATCGTAAGAACCTGAGGTGTTTTCATCGTTACCTCAGCGGCTAACTCGTGAAATTACAAGATCTTGACAAACAATAAGCGAGAACCGGAGAAAAGCACAGTTGTTAAATCTCGTGTTTGTAGTGAAACAAACTTACTGCGGACAATACCCATATATAATTATTAAACTCATCGATTAAAATGCTATTAACTGTTAGTATTCGATAAATGTTAAATATTTTCATAAACTGAAACTGACAGACTTGAAATATTCAGCTAAAAGTCATCCACGGGCACCAACATTATAGTTACCCCACCATTTAAACGCATCACCCTATAATTTCGTTTTCTGTGGATAAAAAATGCAGCTTATTAGTTGAGAGAAAACTGGTTATTATAATGCAGAAACAGGGGTAATTGGTATTTTAAAATGGTGTATCTTAGTAAATTATAAGTTAAGTGCAGGTTCGGCAAGTCTCATTCCGTCACCCAAGAGCATCAATATAGCTAGAATTACAACGATTAACTTTTGTTCAGACGTGCATATATAACATGTTTTGTTTGCGATCTAAGCGAGGATGGTACGCTACCTACACTTTAGTCACTTAGTGGGTATACCCACACACCTGCAATCCTCAGTTGTTTATCAATTTACGTGTTCGCGCTGTAGGGCAGCATAGGTAAAACAAAAAGACATTTGATAACTCGCATCCATGAGCAATTGGGCCGTTCCGTCCGAACAGGCCAGTTAATTATACAACCACCACATTCAGCTATCCGTAACTACGCCCACCAACATGGCCATTGACCACCCGTTTTCGCAGTCTGATTTCTCAGTTTTTGGCAGGAGCAACTGTGAGACGGACATCCTCATTATGGAAGCCTTGCATCAGTATAAAGTAAAGTCATCCATTTGTGATATGGCTTCCTGTGAATTGTTGTGTTTTTCGCACTAAGGCTCGTCTAAATTAAGGTTATACCTCCTGTATATTTTTATTTTCTGAATTTAGTTTTGTACGTAGGTCTCTCGTCATTTTTATCAATTTCAAATTATAATGTTTTTTTTGTAGAAGGTAAATTTTAGTATAATGTTACGTTTTTATTGTATATCACCTGTATTTTTTAAAACTTTTTGTTTTCTAGGCTCTGATGATGAAAAATTATTTTCCGAAACGTTAGTGATTAAAGAAACCCAACTTAGTCAAGATGTGTTTTCCCTGGTTCTCCTCTTCGTTATATATATATATATATATATATATATATATATATATATATATATATATATATATATATATATATATATATATATATATATATAGAATGCAAAGGGATGAATTGCCCTGCCCCCTAGGGACTGCTCTGGACAGTATTGTAGTGGGGAAACCGTTCATACGGATAGCTCACGAAAATACTATGTTATATGAACGATTGAGCATAATATGAGTGAGAGTTGGCCTTAATAGACTATAGGTACTACTGTGACCATGACAACCTCAACAATAATTTCCTATAGCACCAGAATTAGGAGAGGAAATTAAGGTAAAGCATCTTACCAAAGATTCTGTACCTCAAGATTGTCTGTTCGTAAATGGACGAGTCACAGCGTAATTCTGATACTATTGTTGGGCGTTATTTTTGTAGTTTATCTAAGTCAAACACTTGGATGTATTCAAAATCCTTCACTTAAGAGGAATATCCGCCATAAGTATCTTTGAGAATCTTGACAGTGGCTTCACCTGAGCCACCACCAGGAACACTAACACACCTTTACTCTTCGTTCCTAGCAAAAAAATATATATAGAGTAAATGTGTCATTGAAATCAGTGACTTGTCTTAATATATATATATATATATATATATATATATATATATATATATATATATATATATATATATATATATATATATTAGAAATCTTCATAATGTACTGTTGAGTGACAGGGGACGCGGAGGTAGCGGCCACCCACGTCGTCCCCGCCCGCCCACCAAGACCCACCTCCCTTAATGCGTAATGACAAAACATTCGTGTCTCTCGATATTACGGAAGATAATTTTAAATGTAAATTACAAATCTCCCTCCAATGAGCTTGTTGATCTGTCCAATGTATCGAATTGTC